AAGAATCAAATTCACTCTCAGGATACAAATCAAGGTGAGGATCATGTTCGCATTCCTCATCTAAATCAGGAATTTGGAGAATAGAACAAGTCTGCTGGGAAGAATCATCCACATGAATGCGTATGCAAGAAACCGTCGTTTTGCTTCCTTTATTTTCAGGGATGGAGTTCTGTTTTCTATCATCGCCATCTTCTTCTGATTGTGCGATGCGTCTGGAAACGTCTGAATCTGAAGTATCACGAGATAAGGGGTCGAGTTCTGGATCTCGAGGCATCGTGATATCATTTTCGAAGAACCTGATGTTTTGGAAATAGTTGTTGAAGTGCTCATTGCGGTTTTCTAAGGCCGGAAAAAAAGAAACGAGGTCGGGGATGTGGAGGGAATGCGGGGTGCGGGGTATGTGGGAGGATAAGGAGGGTGGAGGGGAGTGTGGTGGAAGAGGTGGATGAGGTAGGGATGCGTTGGGCTTGTATGTGTAATGATATGCATCATCGTCTTCTTCTTCTGGATTGTTTTCCATATCCATGTTTATAGCGAAGTCGCTATCGATATCGATATCGATCTCATATCCATATTCATTTCTTGGAGAGAAACGAGATAGCTTTTCTACAGCGCCCGGTGAGTAGCGAGGGAGCCCTGTCCCTGTCTCTGTCTCTGGCCCAATGTGGCGCGAGGCTTCATGTGAGGCTTCGCTCTTGGGCGTTTTGAGCGAAGAGGTACTGGGATGTGTTAGAACCCAGCAGTGGTGTCTTGAATTTGTAAGGCTGGATGGATTTATAGGTACGTACACATTATCTGCCGAGACATTTCTTGCTGGTGAAGAAGTCGTTCTTGTTTGTTTTGATACGGGGGCACATTTGATATCTTCCTCTTCAGATATTGTTGTTTCGGTCATTGTTACCCAGTCGTTTTGATAGGGGGTGTTGTGATTTTTAGAGGAAGTTCTTGATGGGTTGTGGTTGTTGGTGTTTGGAGAGGAGTTGGGTTTGCGGGCGGGCATTATAGTATGGAGATGAGTTGAGTGGGTATCATTATCTGAAACGGAGTTGATCTGTTGATAAGTCAAGGATATGGGTTAAAGAATGAGCGTTTTACAATGCAACGATTAAAGTGTGGGACGGGATACACAGTGGACTTTATAGAACGAGGTTTTGGGACATGGGCATCGGGCGAGGGTGAGGGGAAAGGCAAGAGGAAAATTACCAGGAGAGCATGAGTTCATGGATTGTTGTGGTTTTGTATCTACAAGATATTTCTTCTGCGAGGCGTGCGAGGTACTCGGTGACGGAAAGGGAAATTATACACATATTGTATCTATATTGATCCATGACCGAGTATTCACATGTAAATATGTGTTCTGCCGTGATGATGTGTTATAAGCTAAGAGGCAAGCCTTCTTCTAGAAGACAAAAAGAAGGAATCCTTCCGGGCAAGGATGCAAGGTACCCAAGATACAACCATGTCGAAGAGTCCCAAGGCTGCGACTGATACTCCATTCTGAACCACAAGATGTGAAAGAGAGAGTACTAACACCTCTGGCTCATGTGTTCTTAGGCTCTCCTGCCTATTCTTCAATATGCCCTGTACAACATCAATAACATCCCGACCCCAAAATATACCCAAGATAATGTGCCTCACCACAATATTTTCGTATACTGCACGAAATAGTGTAGTAAGGTAAGTTCAGAACCCAATCTTACTGCACTCAAACTCAGAAGCCAATCTCGGGATTCATCTTTTCCATCCCAACCTCGTGCATCTCGCCCTTTCGCATCCCAACTTACCTCATATTCAAGCCCAATATAAATCCGAAACCCACTGCATGTATATGGTAGTATAGCGGCAACTTCTGACCAGAAATTGGATAGTTTAATTCCTCATACAAATAAACCCTCATGTAAATAGTCAGAATAAAAGAGGCAGACAAAAGGGTTTAAATAAACCTGAAATTCAGATGAAACCGATGATGCTGGTAAGAGAACATCGCTGAGGTCCAATTGATACATGAGACTGAAGGATGCAGGGGAGATACCAAGAAGTGAGAACAACGAATACAGGGTGGGGACGGGAGAAGATGAGGCTGGCGGGCGAGTGCCATTTGATAATAGGGAAAAGGGGGTGTGAAGATCATGATGGAAGCCTCGAATTTGGAAGACGCGAATTGTGAGAAGAGGGACAATGTGATAGGTGGTTTGGGGAAAGGCTAGTGGCTGTGCCTGACTGTGGCGGCGGCACAGTAATCTAGCCAAGCCGGATCGAGGAAAGATGCATCACCCGTCGACATAAATACAAGGCATTAGTATCGTGATGTGAAAGCCAATGCATTATGATGTCTATTAATCGTGTGTACTTTTCTCCAACCTTTGCACAGCAAGGCGCAAAAACGCCTTGAAATCTCTTGAACATACGAACCCACACGGCTAACAACATCGGGCGTATTAAATTATCCCGAGTCTATGCCCTATCCTTCTATTAAACATTGAGCGTTGTATGTGCCAGCACATATCAGAAGTGAGAATTTTGCCTGTATCCTCTGTTTTCGAATCCAATCCCGCCGTACCAAGTTCCGTCTAATCCTTGTTAACCTATCCCAAATCTATTCCTGCCACAACTCCCCACAAGTATTCAGCCCGGCAAAGAAACAACTGCATGCAAAAGCGCAAAAGCATCACCTCGATGTCGTCGAGTCTGTCTTTCCCCCATGCGAGTCAGAAGTCATGCTCCTACGTAGCATTTCTAACTGTACGTCCAGAAGACACGGGGATTCCGCAGAATCACACATGTAGGAGCCATCTTGAGATGTCTTGGCCTTTCGTGCGCGAGCTTGTCGCTGCTTGTTTTCATGCTCCAAGGATTGCAATTGTTGTTGATATTCAGTAAGAGAATCCATAATATTGACAATGGAGATTAATTTAGAATTCGTGATCCTTTCAGAAAGTAATTGTGGGCGTGACTGATTGTGGCTGGAAGGACCTGATCTTGTACTTCTCAGAAGCTGCGGTGAGATCAAGTATAATGTAGGAATTTGGTAGTTGACAATTCTGAATTAATTACTGGGATGAATTATGAGCTCAGTATGGATGGAGAGTTGAATGGAGGAGGATGTTGAAGGTCATGCAATGTGCTTGATATATTTGTTGGAATGGGACTATCCCGTATCTAAAAATAGATGTTGGATGGATTCGAAACGAAGTCTTCTGATTCGCGATGGAAGCAAAAATGTATTGTTCTTGACTCGAAGGAATGTGACTGAATGTTCTAAGAACTTTCTAGGGATATTATCAACTAAATATATATCCTCATGATGGTCAAAGTTCATGTCTCGCAGATCTCCTGTAATGTTAGCGCCAATTCATCGTGGGATGCGATGAAGCAATCCTCTCACTCCTCTGTTTCGTCGATTAGCCGCCTGTCTCAAAATCTTTGCCGCATATAATACTACTTTTCGGAACCAACCCGTACCTAAAATGATTTGAGTAAACACGGTAGACTGTTGTATATCTAATTTAAAACTCGTAACAGATTTCGACCTGCCGTAAGTCGCGAAACTCCCATAATTGTTACAGAGCCATTAACATCGTCTGATGTTAATAATTCAAAGACCATAATAGAACACACCTCTAAGAATTTCAAAACGGAGCTTCCTGAGCTTGTATCAAACGTTCTTTCTCCTGCGTGGCTTTGCATCTTCGATGACATCTTTTTCGCCAATTATGACAGGCTCAGTTCGTTCATCCATTACATCGCCACCAACTACCCATGTCTTCATTACCTCCTTCACCTCCCGCAGCTTTTTCGCTTGCCCTTTGGCTTCTCCAACTCGTCTGATGTAGCCCATGTAAACTACCACCTCGGCAATGCCAACCAGGAGACTACCACTCATACTCAAAGCTAATCGGGCAGGTGTGCTCCACCATCTTGCAGCCATCCATAACCCAAATGCACAAGCAATAATAGATACAATGACATTAAATATAACAGCAATTTGTCGATCGATGTCCGCATATGTAACGTCGTCATCCTCGGTGTTTCCTACTTCTGGAAAGTTGGCAGTGAAAGCATGAGCGGCAGATGTAGACGGGAATCTTTGTGCAAATGTTTCCATGGGAGGCGGCGGATTTGTCATTCGATCATATGCTCGAGCTTCTTCTTCGCGTCGAAGTCTTGCCATTAGAGCTTTGTATTCCGACGTCTGCAGATGATATAACGTTAGCTTAGATGCCTATCTCCCAACTCCGAGCATGTGCCATTTGAAACATGTAGTGAATATCTTAATCGAGCTTATTTCAGATGTATTAAATTGAATTGGCATCGGCAGCTTTGAATCATAACTTACAGGCTCCGCCTTTGGTATAGGAGGTGAAACATAGACACGAGACCCTCGAAGCAAGAGCTCCAAAGTGACCGGTGAAAGGTTATGTTTCTTTAAATTTCGAGATAGATCAATGACTTGACCATGAGATATAGGATTACCGATTTTAGGATTTTCTAACAGCGGTTCCTGTGACGTCTTTGCATTTTCTGCCAGGTTTGCGTCTTCCAAACTCGCTGTGGACACATCCTGCTGGACCAGCAATCCAGTCTGTGTATGCTCTTCAGTTATATCTGCATCTGTCTTGTTGTCTTCTGCATTCAGTTGGACTTTGTTTTCCGAGAAGGTTTTCAGATTGTCTTCTCCAATTTCTCTCTCCAGTTGCTGTTCACTAGGCAGCTGTGTTGGCTCGTCTTGAGAATGGGCATTTTCGAATTCATGTAGGATTTTTAATGCTTCGACTGTAGTCGGAGTCATGGTAAGGAGAACCATTTTCACGTTCTATGAATGTATCAAGTAGTTCACCACAGTCTTAGATGTTTGTGATAGCTCCAAGTATCATTTCCCGCTTTCAAAGCTTATCGGTAAAACTTGCTTATCGGCATTAACTTGTCCGACAGTGGTCTAGTCCAACCGAAATATTCATGCTCGGAATCTTGCGGGGAATAATTTTCATATTCCTTACATTCTTCCATACATTCTAGGTTTACAAGGACTCCTACGGCCGCTTTTGACTTCGAGGTACTAATACGTGGAATTGAGTATTAAAACTGTCTTTTCCACAAAGAAAAATTGGTATTTCGACATAGTGGGGGTTTCACAGGCCATGAGGAATTATTCAATGAGGGCTTCGAAGCTCTTCCCCAGCTCCTCCATAGCCAGAACGCAGGTCAATGGCGCATGTTTTCGGTGTCAATTAGCTTGCACGGCATCACTACGTCCTATACTTACTCCTTCATACCATTATAACTCTACAAGGCGGAAGCAATCAACCTGGGCGCAGGCGGTATCTGTGGCGTCCAATGTTTTTTCAAATGCTACCACCCGGGCAACAGGAGGGACCAATTCGATAGACCCTTTACGAATGGTTGCGAAAGAGATGAAGTTTCTGACTGGCAACATACGGCAACTCCTTGGATCTGGACATCCTTCTCTCGACACTGTTGCGAAATACTATACACAAGCTGAAGGCAAACATGTACGACCTATGATTGTACTACTGATGTCTAGAGCTACAGCCCTAGCGCCCAAATCTTCTCGATATAATCCCAATCAAGAAATTGCAGATATAGACAACCCAATATCGCCGACTACCATCCTTTCGGATGTAAATCCTACCGCACCTACATTAAACCCTTTGGCACATGTGCCCAGAACATATTCGGCAGCCGAAAGTGACATACTCCCCTCTCAAAGACGTTTGGCTGAGATTACGGAACTTATTCATACTGCGTCCCTTTTACATGATGATGTCATCGATCATTCCGTCTCGCGGCGAGGCAACCCATCTGCTAATCTCGAATTTGGGAACAAAATGGCAGTATTGGCTGGAGACTTTTTGTTGAGCCGAGCTTCAGTAGCTCTTGCACGTCTGCGTGATGCGGAAGTTACCGAATTATTGGCGACAGTCATTGCGAACCTTGTCGAGGGAGAATTCATGCAATTGAAGAACACCGCGCAAGACGAAAAGTATCCTGTTTGGACAGAAGAGACGATCTCTTACTACCTACAAAAGACATACTTGAAAAGCGCAAGCTTGATCTCAAAGTCATGCCGGGCCGCGGCTTTACTCGGAGGATCAGATGGTGTTACTGTTGATGCAGCGTATGATTATGGTAAGAATCTAGGATTGGCATTCCAGCTTGTTGATGATATGTTGGATTATACAATCAGCGAGAAAGAACTGGGAAAGCCTGCAGGAGCCGACTTGGAATTGGGTCTTGCGACTGCCCCATTGATATTTGCATGGAAGAATAACAAAGAGTTGGGCTCCCTAGTGGGAAGGAAGTTCTCTCAGGAAGGAGATGTTTTGCGGGTAGGTTATGTTACAATGAGTATATAAGAGTTCGCACTAACAGAATTGCAGGCAAGGGAATTAGTGCTACAAAGCGATGGCTTAGAGCAAACTCGTGCCCTGGCTGAAGAATATGCGAGCCGGGCAATTTCTGCCATCAGTGCATTCCCCGACAGCGAGGCCAAGGATGGCCTGATAGAAATGGCGGATAAGACCTTGAAACGAAGGAAATGAATGAAATGTACCAAACAGAAGTTTTTGGTTTGTACCAATAATATCACGCCTTCTGTACCGGATTCAAAACTATTGTATTATACAAAAGGCTTTCAACTTGGCGGGAATTATATAGACAGGATCTCAAGATTCAAAATAGACGTTTAATACCTCCAGGAATCATAGGTCAATTTGGGTATTAATATTAAGCTTGTTTGCACAAATAGCTCTTTGATTCTGTAATCCCGTTTCATGTTTTTGACTATCTGGTAACTTGTATATCTCTTCGGCCTGTAGTCACATAACCTTCCATAGCAATCTTGAATTAACCTAACAAACTATTTTAAATGTACATGTATACCCTTAGGAGTCCAACTATAGCTACCTAGGTTGGATGTGAGCTTTTCAGAACGTATGGAAAGTGTTGTTCGTCGAGCGGCGCCTACACAATGGAAGCAAATGCACCCAAACCATTCGCTTCTATGTCAACCTCAACACGCACCACGACCACATCCGTCCTGTGCACAACAGTACCCTGCGCTGATCACATTCTGCCCGACTTCTTATCCCTCCAATGAATCATATGATATAATAGGAATTATTAGAAACCCTGGCATACTCGCACGGACAGAATGACGTTCTAATCATCACTTCAAGGTTCCTCACATGAGACCATCGAAATGCTTAAGGCCTATTCGGTGAAAAATCTCTGCATTCCGGACAGAAAGCGTTCATAATCTCACTGTGACAGTATTGGGTACTGGGCAACTTATCCGTGGGTGGATGCCATCTCAAAGTAACCACCCCAGCTTGAACCCGACGGGTACGGGTATTTACCTGTCAATATTCCAACATTCTCACGGATAGCACTTTCCCGGAATCCAATGATGCAGCTCAGCCATCACTCGCATGGCATTCTAGTATCTGAGGTGAAGATCCTGCAAGCTTGCCGTACCTTGCCGACTCTTGATTTAATGAGGTAATACTTGAGAACCTCTGGGGCGATATCATAATGTTGTGAGTATTCATGTTACAATCAATGTATACTCAGTCATATTACCTTCATACCTAGATACCAGTCCTAGGCAACCTTCTTCACACGAGGAAAAGAACTCTGTGACATGAAGAAAACTGAATCTGGGGGAGTGAAATAACTTTATGATATCTATGCAGGTGCAATGACTTTCAGAATTCTTATTGATTTAATAAGGCAAGGCTGAGAACAAGGCTTTCGAAATTTGAGAGAACAATCAAAAATGATAAGACTCAAATTTTAGTTTCACTCTTTAGTTCACCTTTCGGTGTACAAAAATGAAGGGTTCATGCATTGGTTCATCGGATGTCGAAATGTTCATGAGATGTATGTTGGATGACTTGATGGAGTATATTTCTTGATCAGTTCGAGCACGGACCACCACTTTAACTAGCGTGTTTTCACAACTTCTATCAAAATGACCCGAAACGCGTCTCCCCAAATCTTCAATATATCATGACCACGAGAAAGATTGTCACAAAGATTCAACACCACAACCCGAAGTAACAATGGAGAATCATTCAAAAAGGTATCAACTCACATACATATTCACTTGCAAGAGCACAGCCGCTAATTATGTACCCTAAGCAAAAGTAATGCTACCATGAGAACTTATTCTAAACGCACAAGAGGAAGCAATCAAAATCTCTCCAACAAGAGACAACGCGTTGATGCTTCGGAATTCGTGTCAATTTCTTCTCCAGTTCTTTCTGAACCGGTTTCTTCTCCCAAAAACCATTCTAGGGATAGATTTGAAGATAAACCACGTTCTCCTCTGATTCGATCTCCTTCGAAGCAGCCGCGGGGAGAGATCGAGAATTTCTCTACCATAAACTCACGAGTTTTATCTCCTAGATCCGTCAGATCTATCTCTCCTCTCACGGAACTCAAATCAAATCAGCAAAATCGACGCGATAATGAGATCAATTCTTCCTATTCCCCTGACTCTTTGAAACGCAAATCTTCAACGAAGATTCAAGGCGCCAAACTCACTTCTACCCCGGAGGCTTCGAACTCTATGACAGTCTCGAGATCTAGTTCAAGGTTGCAGCATAAGACAGGCACTAATACGACGAAATCTCCCTCCCCTGTCTCAGAATCAATTTTTTCAAAAGAAAGTCTTGCATCGAATCATACTAGAATTGATTCAGAAACCTCAAGGCAAAATCCACGGAAAAGTGTTACTTCGGCTTCGAAAAAAAGACCAATTTCTCCCTCGTCAGAGATATTAACCAGACAAGATACCACTATTACTTCGAAGTTCCATCCAGTGGAGAAAGCTAACAAATCTTCTATTCGAAGCTACTTCAAACCATTACCACAGCCACAACCACAACGATCTTCGAGTCCACCAAAATCACAATCCTCTACTCTTTCGGATTCATCTCAGCATCCAGTATCATCTCCTCCTTCATCGCCTCCCCCAATACCCCAGGGTTACCCCATATTGAAAAGGACGAAATCGGTTCGACGTCGCATTAGCACCAAACCAAACCTACCAAAGATCGATACCATGTCTGAAATTTATGAAGACGATTTGCAAGAACTATGTGGAGATTTTACCGATGATTCACGAGTTGAATTGATGGAACGTTATCAAGATGCTCAAGACATGAGAGACCAATCCATCATCGATCATGGCACTCTCATCCCTCTTGCTGACCAGGCCCTTGAAGCTCCAGAACGTGCAAGGCTCAGAGCCGAGATCGCCCGCCCTATGGGTTTTGCTCTCCATCAACAAATTCTAGATCTAGGGCAATCGTTCTCCAATAAATGCCCTAATTGCGGCATGCAGTATGCGATTAACGACCCCTCGGACCAGCGCATGCATGATCAATTCCACAAGATCTTCAAATTGGGCGGACCTGTTTTCAAGCCAAAGTACGTCAATACTCAAGCATGGCAAAAGATAATTGATGGCGAACTTCACACCGTCCAGTGCATTAGCTGCAAGGAATCCGGTCCCGTCAAGAGTCTTGTAGAAAGTATCCTTGAGGCTACTTTGATGGATATGGATGGCATCTTACCAACTCCCGCGCGACTCTGGTCCATGATCACCAGCCCCAACGACTCTAAAGATCTTATTCCTGTTCCCCGCTACAAGGTCTTCCTTTACGTTATCGGCGCCCGTCCAATTGGTATTCTCCTCGCCGAGCGAATCGGCAAAGCAACCCCTATTATGAACACCGCCGAAACTGCTGAGAATGCCTCGCTCTCGACCTCCCTCTCCAATGCATCCCCAGCTCTCGCCACCTCTGTCAATTCCGTCCCACAAGAAGCATACATGTGCATTGATCGACTCTGGGTCCACTCCGATTTCCGCCGAAAGGGCATCGCTACATCTCTTGCTAACCAAGCAAGAGAGAAGTTCATCCCGGGTTTGATTGTCGAGAAGAACGAAATGGCTATTAGTCATCCTACTTCTGTTGGTGGTCAGTTTGCGGAGAAGTATTTTAAGGGTGTTTTCGAGGGTGCGAAGTATGCGATTGGTTGTCTCTGAGCGAGCACAGACTGGAAGAGGAGATCGGCGAAATGGGATTAGTACTGAGCAGAGGAATTGAATGGATGAATACATGAATGAATAAATGAATGAACGACAGGGAAAAGAGCGGCTACTCTTGGCGTTTTGCGATGATCCAATTTCAGATAGGAAAATACCTAGGCTGGAACCATAGTGTTCTTACAATGAAATAGCGGTCTCTTACTAAATTTCTGACATGTGATGTTACGTGATACTTTGAAATATAATTGGTTGTAGTACAACCTGAAGACTGAAGTGGGTTAGAAGTTGATGATATCCTTACCTGATTTCAAACTATTCATCATAGCTTTATCTCTTGGTCTCTTTTGATGCCCCTCAATCTCGGATCGATATTCTAGCCCCTTGACATTGTATTGCATTCTCTTGAGGTTTCAGGATATGATCTGAACTTTCTCTCAGTTGAGTTGAAAGCGGGAGGTAGATATGGCTCAATCAATCTCTTGAGTCTGTTCGACGAATAATTACCTGGATGCCCCTCAGGTGATGAAGCAATAACCTCAAGAGATGTTTGGACAATCAACCAGAAGCCTAGGGAATTCTTGATTGATGTATGAGGAGCTTGAAAATGGTACACTGCTAGCACTATTTCACTGGATGGCCAAAATATCAATAATTTGGAATAATTCTAAGAGACTGAGACGCACCGCAAGTGCTTTGCCTGTCCCCTTTAGCCTTTCGATACTGCAAGGATTCCGAAGCACCACTCCCTCCAAAAAGAATTGCATCTCATCACCAGGTAATCTATAGTAGATCAACACAGAGCAAATCGCGGTTTGAAATCCTGCAATCCTTCCATCGTATTCATTAATTTCCCGCTGGCCAGAAGAATACTGAACTCTCAGACTCTGCTTCATCGTTTATCCCATCGCATCGTTACGAGATATGAAAATTCTCCTTTAACAGTCTCGTCCAATCGGAATCCCAATATTCATTTCTTCCCATTGCTATGCCTCGCTCTCTCTTATCACGGCACAAGAGCCATCTCTTTTCCTACTCCACAATGACAATAGATTGAAGAGAGCGGAGTTCGTGTTTCACCACTCCTATACGAGACCCATTGAATTCCTCGAAGCGAACATGAAGCTCTCACTGCCGTTTGCTCAGAACCTGCTAAAAAGTTATCTAGTCCTGATAGACAGGCTCGACAGGGTGTTCCTTCCTCCTACGCACCACCATCTTTTCCATCCGGAAAGTATAAGCTTCACCTCCTCCCCTGAAAATTTAACAAAGCTCCAAAATCCAAATACTGCGGACCTCGGGCCAAGCCCCAAAAAATGAAGTTATTCATAGTACCATTCTCTCGTATTGTACGGGACAGATACACATATCCATGTAGCTCATCCCTTTAGCGTCCGAGATAGCTTATATTTGATCGGCACTTTCCACGTGGGATGTCAAAGCTGGCTTTGTACCGAATTCTTACGATGGTTTATTGTCTGTGCTTTGTTTCGTTTGATGATGTGGTATTTTGATGATATCGAAATCAGCTGTCGAATATCAACTGCGAGATGGGTTTTGAAGAAAATTGTTTCGTTGGTCAATGCACTCGTATGCGCATTGATTTTGATGCTTTAGCCAGGACAGATATCTCGGTAGTTTTAGTTGACTCACGATGGATCAATCACAAGGGAAAATCTGTGTGCGATGTGTGTAGAATCATCTTGCGTGAGAGGTCTGGACGAGTGTTCAGGGCGACAGGATGGGTATATAAAGATGTTGGATTCTCTCGACACTTACATCAATCTTCACTGATCCAGCTCATTTATTCTTTCTCTACTTCATCATAATACATTCGATTAACTTAACTCTCGTTCAACAACATTTGTTAAATTTTCATCAAAGATTTCATCTTCTACTTATTTTCAATTTCTTCGTTGATCACCTCATATCTTCCACCCTCCCAATATCCAAAATGAGAACCTCATTCATCTCCCTCCTCGCCATCACCGGTCTTTTCGGAACTTCTCTCGCCGCCCCAACAATCGCTGGAGTCGAGTCCCGTGCTACCGCAAACGCAACCGATATCATGAACAACTTCTACACCCAAGTGCAAACCCACACCGGAACCATCAGTAAGTTCTCTTCTCCAATTCACTCCCCTTACCTCCCCTATAACACCCCCCAGACTCAACCCTCAACACCATCACCTCCTCTTCCAGCTCCGCCCAAAACAGCACCGCTCAAGCCGCCATCTCCAAAGCAGTAACAAACATCATCACCGCCGCCACCACCACCAACACCGCTCTCAAAACCCAAAAACGCGATCTCGAAGCTCGAACTTACTCGGCTCAAGATCAACAAATCATCAGCGGTACTTGCGCTAATGCCATCACTTCGATTGCCGGAACCATGGGTCTTGTGCAAAACACATTCGGAGGAGTATATACCGGTGGACTGATCGGTGGGTTGGTTGGTGCTCTTGGTTTGGTGTTGGGTACGTTGGATGCGATTGTGGGGGATGTGCTTATGCTTGCGGGAGCTTTGGTTGGGGGTGTTTTGGAGGGTGTGGGTGGTTTGCTTGTGGGTATCTTGTTTGGGAAGTGGTAGATGGGTGGGCTTGTTTGTGGATGGTGCATTTACTCACTTACTTGCTTGGGATTTCGAGCTTGCGGACGCGTAGACTTGATGGAAAGTTTGATTGAAGTGCTGCCATTCACATCTAAGATGCGGATTTTGAGATTCTGCTCAGATCTGTGATTCCCAGGGGGGTTGTCGGTGGGGGTGTAATCTAAATTTGGAAGTTGTGTGCTGGGTATGTGGCTGGTAAGAGTTTCCTGGAAATTGCTTGTTTCCGCTGAATAATACTTATTGTTTAAACATTTCATATAAAATACAAATGCTTTTAAGATCTCAAAAACTAGTATCTCGCAATTTTAATAAAGTCATGTTGCTCCGAGTTTGAAAATCCCGTGTAACTTTTCATACTCCCCCTCCTCCACGCTAACCACCCATAGCTCATAAAATAGAAGAAGTTTTACTGCGATACATTGTGATTCGCTAAGAAAAATTCGGTCCATCTACCAGACGTAGACAAACCTTTGTTCATAATTTCAGTGAAACTGCTAGAAAATTGCATGCTCCTCCTCTGTCAACTTCCAGTTCAAATCAACTTTAGGGTCTCTCTTTCCCACCGATCTGAAGCCAGCCATGCATCCAAATCCGGCTTTTCTGTCTTTTCGTAGAAGAATTTCAGCTCCATTTGTCCTATACGTCTACACACCTTTGTATCTTCGGGATCTTCTTGCAAGATCAGACATTTTAAACACGATTCAAATTCCACCATGGGTGCATATTCGTACTTCTCCGGTCGCTTCTCTTCCACTACAAACATGATTTTACACTTCAGCGGAGAAACAGCCAACCAATCGGGGTAACCTTCATCCCAGCGGACAATGTGAGCAGTTCGCAGCTTTGCATGTTCAAGACTTGTTTCGGCAGTTGTGGAGGCTGCAGATCCCTCGCTTGGTGTTTCTATCTCGCCCTGTTTCTCGAGAGGAATTCCGGGGGGGGACTCGGGAAGCGTTTGGGGAGATAACAAACTCAGTTCCGTATCCCCAAACCAATGTAATGTTAAGGAGAACCCGGTTTTGTTAGAGGGATTCATGTATTCACCTAGGTGAATCAACTTCAGCGTAAGCGTGTCAACAATAATATGGGCGTATCTGACAGCGCCATAAGGATTCTCGCTAGCAAGTTCGATGTGATGTGATAAAAGAATAGGACCATAAGAGGTAGATGTAAAGCGAATTGAATCGTAATAAAATATAGAAGTTCCTTCACCCACAGCAGCCCAGGACCATGATGGTGCTCGGTACTGCTTTATATGAGGCACTGTATCTGACCAACTAGAGATTCCATACCATAGCAAATTTTTCTGGAAAAATTTACTCCATATTCCAGCTAAGTAATGTCCTCCAACTCCTTTATGGAGTAGTGCTGCAATGCCGGAAAAAGCTGGGAGTTTATCGTTTGGGTAAGTCAGATTTCGGTTACAGTAATCCTCAACCATGAATTGATACTCGCGATTTATTTCTAGCAGTTCTTCTTCAGAGAATCTCGTGAACTCATCATTGTAATTCTGGTTAAGAACAAGTCTTCGAGTAAATACAGGATAGATGTAGTTCTTGCTCAAGGGAAAATCGCTGCTGCCATCTGATGGCATGCCGTTCGCAGATTGAAATCCACATGGGCATTGCCAATAGATTTGTCTGCGACCATACCACAGTATTCGAGGTGAAAGTATTCTCTCTTGTAATGCCCAGGCCCGAGATTGCAGAGGTCCAGATTTAAACAATCTGGCGAGATTTTCAGGCTCCAAGATGGAGGTAGCAATTTCTACAACGTCGTCGAATCCACTGTCTTTTGATAGTTTAAGTTTAGGCTTCATCTCGTGAGATATTTGTGATCGAGTGTGAAGTATACCATCGGCAGCTTTGTGTACTGCTGCTGCTCCGATAGTTAGGACAGAGTTTCGATATATGTCTCCCATCTTTGTTGATTCAGTCGACCAATCGTGTATGGAGTCTTGAATGATACATAAGGAATCGATCCACAAATATTGAAAGCTGAGCCCGCGAGTGATCAAAATTGCGTCTCTGAAATTAGCTGGTAAGTTTGTCATTTTGATCTCTTTTTGGAGCGATTGCAGATTCGATGTTGTTAAAACGGTCTCAATTCGACCCCCCCAACAATGACTCAGTGCGATCCATTTGCCCCCAAGACCGTTTGTCACAAAAAGAGATGGATTTGTGTCTTCCAAACCAACATCAATCACTCTAGAAGGTAAGACTTTGTCTTCAAAAGAAGGACATTTTGATTCAGAATGTTCAACAATGCAGGTATTCATCCAGCCTCGTGCAATGTCAAAATTTGCATCTGATGCCAAATCCTCGTCAACGATAAACTGACCTATTCGAATATCGTCGATAAATTTAGGTTGATCTATTCAAAATCAGTAACCAGCGATCGATCAAGATTCCCTCATTCAACAGAGCTGCATATTCAAAAATCCACAATACCTTTCGGTGTCTGAAGAATGCAAACCATCTTAGTATAGTAATCAAAATTCCACTTCCAACTCTCATTGTAATGTCTGAATGTCAAATGATTAAAAACCTTTTCTTTCTCGAACGGTTGGTCACAATACAGATCTGAAGTCTCAATTTCTACTCGCAAGTCCATGTGCCTATTCTCCGTCGCCTCCATGACTCGAAATTTTTTGTTCCAGTGTAACTGATCTAAGAATACCTTGCCCAGATGCCTCGATTCTTTCTTCCTCGCATTGCCGTTGAAGAAGTAGACAAAGCTCACATCCGGACGAGGCTGCACTCACGAGATCATCGTATCTTTTGTGATGCTCGAAAGTCCGGTAGTCATCGGAATAAGAGGGCTTACCACTATTGGCCTTTGCCTGCTCGAGCAGGTCGGTTACATTCAAACGATCACACACTTTGCAAAGCATGCTGAGCGTTTCGAGGAGGGTTGGAGATACCTGACGGAATGTCGTAAAGTAATGTATCTATTCTTGATAGATGATGGATTGAAAAGTCGTTCATGTTTACAAGATAAGCAAGCAAGGTCCAATGAAAATCGAGACGGGGGTAAGCTCTGCTGGGTAACCTTAACGACGTCTCCATTTCACGAAATATACAGGCAATAGCATCAAGATTTGGAATGGATACCTAAAGGATAGAGTAAGACTTTGGAATATGAGACTTGGAATAGAGAGTAGAGATGAATTGAGATGAGGTTATGGAGAATTGTGTAGCTTTATTCTTCTGATGAAAAGTCGGACACAAGCTACCATCAAAACTCGACAGACTGATGTATATTACACTAATCCCGAAGTAGAATAGTATCCGGGGTAAACTAGGTACACTCTATGATAGCGAAAAGATCAATATAAAAAAGACAGAGGGGGACACAACTACAAATTTCTGAATGATTTCAACAATGAATAATTGATCTGACTACCATTGTAGTATCATCTGCTTAAACCACCACACTTACAGCGACTCCCAATCGTAAAGTCTCAGACGAAACAATAAAGAAACCATTGCCAATGCCATCAAAGAATCGTCTCAAGATCAGCTTCGTTCTGAACCTCGAGCTCGCTCACATACTATCTACGATGTAACTCTTCAAGATATAAAGACAAAACTCCCCACAAGACCACAATCACCGATCATGAAAGTTCGCGAAAAGATTATTGAATGCTACCTCACGACGGAAATCGAGTGTAGAACTAGCACGACTAGCCTGTCTCTCCAATCAATCAAACCCGATACCGTTGAACATCCACGAAGCATTTGAATCCCAGCATCACGATACACAACTCTTTAAAGCTTAAAGACATGACAGATTGTCAAATCAAGAACACTGATACCTGAGAAATCGTCGGGAGGTAAGATATATGTACATATATCAAGCCAACCAAGTCCACTAATCCTCTACTCACACTCACACCTACGCCTTTCCTCATCTTATTCACCAAATCAGTCCCATCTAAACACAACCCTCAAAGACAATGCTCCCCTGCATCGAGATATCCAAGCCACCGATATATCTTTCCCATCCCCGTTTTTCCCCTCTCTCGTTTCTCCAAAAAGCCACTCGACCCCATACTCCGCGTGCAGTTTACTGAAATCCAGGATTTACTCATTTGGGACTCTTCATTTATTTATCCATTTTAATGCTTCTAGTCAATATCTTTCCCTCATGGATAAAGAATTTTGATTGCCTTCATCTCCTCCAAATATGCACAATCATCCCCCATATCAACAACACCACTCACCCAGAACAAATCTCATGTTTGTATCTCCAAAGCCCATCTTCAAACTTATCTACAATATTACCAATATCATAACAATATCGGAAACACAAAAAAGTTCCCCTTCTCTGCCCTCTCCCCAGATCTTCTATACAATTAACAGGTACAGTAGCGAGAGACAAATAAAACCACGCAGATTATATATACATATATAGGTCATTACATACCTCCACATTTCACTTCCCACACATCAGAATCGCAAGACTAAAACCAACCACACTCCTATCAACATTTCAATGCATACCCAAGCATACAGTACACACTCCCTTCTCAGATCAATCCCGAGACAAACTACCTCCCCCCACAAGAAAACCATCAAACCCAAAGAGTCTTCACATCCACCTGCTACTCTATCAATAAACCACACCAAACCCACACCCATCCATCACACACAGAACGGCACAGAAAATCATCACAAGCAAATCCAACCAAACATAAAAACGCAAAAACGTAAAAACATCCCGTAATCAATTTTTCATTCATTCATTTAAGTATTCATATATGCATATATTCATCCCACAATTCGTCGCACCATCCCATCACCCCATCATCCCATCCACCATCCATCCATTCAACCATCCAATTTTTTCATTCACAAACAATTAAATCCCCACTCCAAACATGCCATCCATCCATAACAAAAGCAAGCGAACGAAGACGACGCGAAAAACAACACGACGATAAAAATATCAGAACAGGACCAATAACCAACTTGTGTAGAAAAACAGATAGACAAGATAAACAAGGTGAAGAAATGTAAAAAGTAAAAAGGTAAAAGAGTTGAAACAGCCGGACCCGAGTATATCTTCATGTAGAGAGATGGATAGAGACAGAGAGATAGAGAGAGAGAAAGATGAGTCTCAAAAGACGAGAAGGACATCAGCACCACCCCCCAAACTAAACCCTCAAATCCCTCTCCAATCTCCCTCTCAACCTCTCAATCCTCTCCCTCTTACTCCCCACACTACTCACACTATCCGAAGGCGCGACGCTCATCGCACCCCGCGGATTAAAATAGCTCTTCCCATCCTCATCCACCCCCCTATCAAAACAACTCTTCCTATCATTCCCATCCCTCTCGCCCCTCCTCTCCGCATCCCTCTCCCGGTCGCCCGCATGCGTATACCCACTTCCCTGTTCCCTGTACCCACCACCATACCTCGCACTCACCACCGTCGATGCCGGAAGCGGGACGTCCCTCGCGCGACTACGCTCGCTCACCGCACTAACCGATACATCGTCTCGCTCCCACGTCGCTTCGGACCGGGGAATGCGTTCTCGCGAGCTCGCGCCTACTTTTGACGGTGAGAATTTAATCGTAGTATGTGTATGACTGATCTTACTTTTTGCATCATCGCCTCTCGGCGCCTGTGAATATCGGGTTGGAGCTGCAGAAACTTGCGTCGGAGCAGGTCCGTACTCGTATTCGGATTCGCGCACGCTGACTTGACTTTTGGGGGCGCGCGAGACTTGGGTCGGGGCACGACTGACTGCTTTGACGGTGCTGGTTCGCTCGCTTACTTTGGTGGGTGCGATGCTCTGGGCTTTGTCTCGGATGTTGATGGCGGTGGGTGGTCTTGCCGTTCCGGCATTCGAACCTTCGCCCTGATCCGCTGCGTTACGTCGGATTTTCGTGCCTGTGTTTGAAGGCGCGACGGAGCTGTAGTAACTACGTTCTTCAATGGGACTTAACACGCCCTCTCTCTCACGTTCGCGATCACGTTGAATGCGCGAGTAGCTAGAGGCAGGAGGAGGCATAGGAGCATGTGGCGCCTCAATAACTCTATATCTGTGTGCTGGGCCTCCTACTGAAGAACTTTTCGTGCTACTTGCGATGGTTTCCGCATGACCGGTGGTGTAGCTTCTTCTTAGACCCGGCATCGATTTACGCTCTGGTTCTAATTCGTATTCGGGGTCTTCGCTTTTGACCATTGCATATGCGAATGCAGCGCCTGCAGCCGCGCCAAGAAAAGTACCCACGAGAGCTTTGTTGGTCATGCCGAAGAGCCCACCGTTCTTCTCTTTTTCTTTTTCTTGCTCGGCTCGTTCTACCTCGTCTACGTAGACGGTTTGCTCCTCATCATGACTCATGTCTCGGCGGATACTAACTTGTGTACCCGGATGTCCATGACCTGCATAAGTTTCTCTCCTCATAACTCTGGGGAAAGTTTCTGCTCTTCGAAAAGGTGGATGTTCTGGAGCTTGAGATTGAGGAGCATGGGAAACTTGTGTTCGGGCAGGTGCTCTGGAAACGTGACTTGGAGCTACAGCACGGTATGCTTCGTCTGAAGTAGGGGAAGTGGAACTACCAGCTGTACTTCTGGCAACTTCTTCTTGCCATTGAAGAACACGACGAGCTTCTTTTTCAGTAGCAGCTGTGACTATAGTTGGGGGACGGGAGGATTCTCGACCGCGGGAAGCCATGTTCGGTTATGGCGTCTAGTGTATAATTTGAATTTATGTTTCGTTCTTTGTGTTGTTTGTTGTTCAGGATATTTATGCTGATTTCGAAATCTAATATGCAATGTATTTTCTTATACTTGTGAAAAGGCGAACGAATGCTTGTGTATGTGTGTGTGTATGTATATTCCCAAACTGAAGTAAAGATGAATGACTCGAATCGAGGTGGCGTGAACGGTGTAACGTGTTGACGGTGAGAGGGGAACGGTGAATGTATGTATTTCAAATAATGCCCAAAATTATGCTGAGAAAAAAGAACATCCGATGAAGATGGAATGATGACCCTGATAAGTTCTAAAAAAAATGTGACTCCGGTTTGGTCTTGGTTGTTCCTAGTTGCTCCGCTTGATCTGCTAACTACCTATGTAGTTGTGGATTGTGGATATAAAGGCGGTCAGCGATCAGATGAGATGAGGTGAACTCGTCGTGTGTGCATGCACATTTACTTCATTCAGCAGGTCCCAGAATATGAAACACACAGGTAATGATTGTTAACGATTTAACTTGTCAATCGTTTTTGTCGTTAGATCGATAGATTAAGGTCGATCGTTGAATTAAGTCGTATTACTCTGATGATGCAGAAAAGATCCACGCCGGGAAGCACAAACAAGCTCTCCGGAGGTTAGAGAGTGAGACAAAAGGGTTGACTGTTGATGAAAATAGCTGAAGATGGGTTGCGTGGTGATGCAAGATTCGCAAGAAGGCAGTGTTGGCGTTTGATAAGTTTCGGAGGTTGGGAAAATGCGGTAAAGAAGCAGGCAGGAGGTAGAAACACTTGACAAGTAATATCTGTAGGTACTAGGTATTTCTCTGTACCAAACGAAAATCTGCCGCGATAGGAATTGGATTATGAGATGTAAAAATGGGTCCTTGGAATTATGAAACAAATTTAATAAGGAATTCTGCAAATCGAGATAGATATGTAAATGTAAATAAATGCACATGTATATGGATATGTATATAATGGGTGAACTGACTTGTTTAACGAGATATCAAAATTCGTACTGTGCACCGAATTCCTCGTTAATAAAAGGATCTCCCCAACTTTACCAAAGAAAACCAAAAATTTAATTGATATATGAACGTATATAAGTATTATTTGTAACTGGATCTTAAACTTTGAATTGATGAATAGACATTAAGAGGAAGAAGAAAAGAGGAATCAAAAGAGAAGTCTTGTCGAAGCATTAAGTTTATGCATCGGTATGTGGTGTTGAACTTTTGAGCCCGGAGTAAATAGTATATATGCATACTGCAAGAGAATGGAGAACATTATCTAGTTTTGACAGTTGTCGCCTCATACTAATCCCTCGATTGAATGGATCAATAGACCGATACAAATCAATCAAATCAAACCCATGTATACTCGTTCGACACTACAGCACATCCCCACAACTTTTTTCTTTTTCAGCCAGCGAGCCAGGCGTAGCGAACAAGTTTTTTTGTGATTTGATCATGTCGAGAACTTTGAACTCCATCGATTCAATCAATACGGTCCAAGCATTTTTGACCACTCTTGACCACTCTCGAGTCTCGAGTTTCGAGCCACTCACTCACCTAAATTCTTATGGGTCATCGTGGCCGATTCTTTGTGCCTGGCCTGGCAAGGAAATGAGCCCAACCAGAGATCATACCTGGCTGGTAATGTTAGGGTAGACGGATAAAACTGCACACAAAATACAAAACACACCCAATTGCAAACCCGATTGAAAAGCGTCCATATCATACATATCCCAATGTCATGTCTCTCAGTACCACGAAGCGATAAACAGCATCAATCAAAAGTAGTGTAGTGTAGTGTCGTAGTCGAGAATCTGAACTATCAGTAAATTTAGGAGCAGGTTAAAAATGATTCATATAATTTTCAATTCCGAAATCTCAATCGATTGAATTGATATAGATTTTCGAAAAGAGGGCTGTGATTTGATTGAACTATAAAGTTGCCCAATTGACTTGTGTCAAAATCCGTCTCCATCATATATCACTTCTTCTACTGCATCATCTTCTACAAGTCTATAATCTACCAGACTAACTAAAAAGTAATTATCATCCCGATGCAGGATCCTGTGCCTGTACCTGTACCTACACCGTGCCTACCGTTCCTACCGTTCATAACCCGCATCGTAACCATAAAGAAGACTTGCACGCTGCATCATCCATCTCCCCTCTCCCCTCTCCGCATGCCACGTCTCCGGCCTCCTACGAAGATCTCCTGTCCATCCATACGAAATCTTGTTCGTCTCGTACCAAGTATTACCAACATCCTACCAATTTATGCGACCGCTCTAGACCAGGATTACCGGTATTGCATCGCCTCAAATAAAAGCGATTGGTGTCGAGATCATGCCATGCTGCAATGATTAGCAAATAGGACAATCTGAACCACACTCGAGTCTTTCATCCCCATAATTTGTTGGAAACGAGCAGCTGCTTCACTTCCGAGGTTGAAAGACTCGATCTGCTATTACGATTTTCTGATATGTCAATTCAAGGCGACAGGAAAATACCCAATGAAGTACACGCAGATTGATTCAAGATCTATAAGTTTTCAGTTCCGTTTCCATTTCCATCTCGATTGCGCAGACCTGAATCTAGAACCTGCATGGAAAAAGTATAAATGTTTTGTTGTACTTTAAACCCCGAGGCGGGTTAACCGTTATCCCATTCTTGATCACGCGAAAACCGTTCTTGTTAAGTTGCAAGCTAATGAGCAAGAAGAATGGGGTATGCGACAGATGGATTAACTTCACGCATTGTGATTTGTTCAAATTTTGGAGAATTTCCCTTTCATTGACCAGTATAGTATTTTTGTACATGAAGCTATCCGCTGTCACCGAATGACTCGCGGTAGTGTCTGCCACCTAGCAGCATGAACCAATTTCCCATGCTAATTTGACTGCTTGCAGTTCAGCTAGCTCGAGGGAGGAAACTGAATGCAAAATTATACGCCAAAGGTATGTATGCTGAAAAGGGGAAATACTTATCGTCATCCGGCGTGCAGTAGCTACTAAGCTCTAAAGTGGATGCAAATTGATACTAGAAAAGACAAAAGAGATGTGGATCAAGTTGAAGTATTCCACGAAGACGACTAAAGCGTCTTGGATCTAATGTTGAACGCCTTATGTTTTGGTTGTAAAAACAGAGACAGAGCACACAGATACCCAAGCCCGGCGACCACAAGCATATCGAACGATGTTGTTATCGTTGAATCTGCTCAATGGTCCCGCTTTCACCTTTTCATATCGACCAAACCTCCAATGCCCATCATCTCATACCATTCACAACCCTGTGGTCTTTTGTGCTCCGTTCCTCCATTCGTATACTGTCGAATGTGTTCGCCGGTACTTTTTGTGGGATGAGAAAAACAGCGGAATAGTCTAAATAATATCCCATGCATCCTCCGCAGCGTGGCAGAATTTGCTGCATGCCACACTTGCAGAAAGACTGTAATTACTAATGGAGATCTTCTCATCCACTAGATCATCTGCAAAGTTATCTGTTCCCTTTGCCATGGCACCAACAAATACACAAATGCTCTCCTTCGGGTCCAATGTCTCCACATAATCCCGAACACGGACCAATTGTGATTCGAAACTCAATGTGACTTTTCGGCAATTGGGAGGTAGGTGGTCGGTGATCGGGTTCGTAATAACCTTGAGGAGTTTTTCTTGAGAGTTGACAGATCGGATAGAGAGGCGATGTAAGAGTTGAACCATCAGACCGGCAAAACGCTTAAAGGTACGTGGAATTCGGACCGTTGGGCTGACCTCAATGAGAACTCCCTTGGCGGTATGAATGTAGATTTGAAGTCGGCCGGCTTTGTTGATCGGCGAGTCGAGGAGGGTGAGAAGACACTGCGATAGGTCAGTATTGAAATGACTGATCATTTTCTTGATTATATACGAACCTGATGTGTAATATCAGGTCGGGCATCACTGATGTCTCGATTCATCTTGCGCATAATACCAATGTGCTCATCACTGTTGAGAAGAGAGTATTTTTCCTCTGCGGGACGGGCGCCAGGTCTTCCACCACCCGAAGATTGTTTATAAGTTTCGAGACTGGCATTGGAGAGAACGACAATCAATCTTTGCGAATCTTTATCGGTTGAAGGTATAGGAACATGCTGTTCTGCGATGACTTGAGGAAGACTTGGAGGGGGTTCTGATTGAGTTCCTGCCATTGCGAATAAATGTCAGTGGATGGGATGGCAGAAGTAATGTTGAATGCTTCCAAAAGAGTGTTTGGATTGTAAGAAAAAGATGTATTCTTTTATCGCAGTATCGATGGATTGGTGAATGATTCAAATAATTGTGCGAGTTGACAGGAATAATATAAGTGTGGTTGGTAAAGTTCAACAATTGATTGAAAATATTTTTTTCCCTTTGCTTTTAGAGCGGCGCGACCCGCTGAATTGGTGCGGGAAGAAAATTGCCTATGTAAAATTTCAAGAGGACGCGATTGACGATAAGAGAACAAAATTCAAGGAACAAAAAAGAATCTTACTTGGTCGCTTTACGACTCTTGGTTCTGGAGAAGACATTGTACCTATTTGCGGTTCCATTAATAAAGGTTTCGATGCAGGTGTAACGGAATTGTGAGGTGCTCGCATACGAATATTGGGTGCTTTTGATTTGGTGGTCTCAAAGTCGATTGGTTTGATGTCGAGAATCCTTCACAACGGGTAGATGGAAAGAACGCTGTCAATGTATGTATTGCTTCTTGTAACAGGAAATAAATGTATATGCCAACAAAATCTTAAGAAGAGAAGTCGAGAATCGAATTTATTGTACAGTTGTTGTGATACAGAAGGGTGGCTGGCTCGTTCGTGAATAAATCCTAAGAAATAAATTTATATTTTGACTGCAAAAGTGGGATGAATGTGTGTGTGTGTGGGTGGATGTGCGTATGGATGAGTGTGAGTTTTGAGGGGAAAGGTCGAAGGATAGAAGGGAAAAGTTACGAATGGAAAAAGGTCATCCATCATCTCGAAAACATCAGTCAGTGCTGTGCCACAAGTTCACTGAGTAGCTAAGTTATGAGGGGACCTAGCGCTGATATCATATGCACCTATTGAGCCTGTTAAACCAAAGAAAATTTCGAACAATGTAATACCATGAACATCGGACAATGTTCTCTCCTTTGTACAGTCTTCACATTCCCTTAACATTGTTCTCAAGACTCCATTCAGACTCTTTCATGTTACGTTTTATCATGACTTGCATGCGGTGACCGGTAAGAAGGGGTCATCGTTGCACGAGCCAAGTCTTGGTAGAGCAACGCCATAGAAAAATCGGTAGCACACGACAGGCATGCCCCTCATATTGAGCCTCAGCAAGATGAGATGAGATTGTACTGTGGGCAAATTTCGGCGAAAGCGTATTCGTAGTGATACTTTCTTATCATAGGTAGATGTCTTTCACCAAGTTCCACCATGTCCGGAGTCGTGATTGTCCGAACTCAAGGTGCCTTATTAACTCTGGATTCTATGAGTAGATTTCCATTACTACCATGGTGAAAGCAGTATTAGCACAGACTGAATACAGCACGCACCAGTGCACCACACGTTAATATGCAAGGCACCAACCCTGATTGCATCACTTCCGCCCCACGATGATCTCGAAAAAAATCGACTTCGGGGACTTTGTCAGTGCTCATCATTCCAATGTCTCGGGTCATCCTCAGCCAGTTGTACAACCACCGGAACTCCTTCGGGTGTCAGAGGTATAGCTCGTGTGCTTACGCTGTGGAATCCGCGATAAGATGGTGGGTTTGGACTTGGCAATAGCATCTTTCTCAATTCCCATATCCTACTGTGCTACCTGCCTTTGCCGTAGAACTTCCGCCCGACCCCACCATAACAGCCATCCCATGTCTTGTTCGTCGATAAAGAAACATAGGATTGAGGCTATTCCCTAGGTCTTCACCGCAATTTGATGTTGCTTCTTTGAATCGATAGCAACTGTATGCTGTGCAATTGTTGTGCAGAACCACGCCTCAGCGGAAGTTTAAAGACACGCAGGTCAATCGAGTACACCGTGGTACATTTTCGACTCTGCTTTGTATCAAAAACATACAATGAATGACGGCTTGCTTTTGACAGCATCCCTTCGTTCAATACATAATATGGGAGTAACTGAGTTTTATATAGCCAAGCTTCAATCCTTATTGTATCGACATCAACCTACTGAATAACCTGAATTCTGCAACTTTCGATAGAACCATGCCAAGAGCAGTAAACTGTAAGTTAAAGTTTCAAGAGATTTATAGTTATTGGCCTATCGTTCGTTTTGTTTTGTGAAGAACATTGTGAGAATGTTGAGAATACGATTTGTGAAGTTGATGATTGCATTCGGTCAATTCTTCTAACGTTGAAGATAAAAGTGCAACTGTCACTAATGATGTTTGAAAGGAGGGTAAGGGGTGGAGAGATGGAGCTTTAAATCGGTCTGATTGAAAATCAATATTTAGCAGATGGTAATCATGATTAGCCATCGAGTATAAGTTTTTGTCTGAAGATATTTCAAGCACACGGTTCCCTAATCCGAAATCATTCTACCATATCTGCGCTCACAGAACATGTGATAAGAATCGATCCAAGACAAACTGATGCTAAGGATTAGGTTGTCATAAAATGCTTGAAACCTGACCGGGAACAACGGTGAAAATGCTTGGCTCGGGTCAGTGTATAAGCATCCTGGAAATCAATGAGCCTTATCGGATCTCTGTAACACGACCTGAGACGAGGACCATATGAAAATATGCTAACTCGGATGACAGCTGCCAATATTCTACCGTTTAAAACGGTAAGAGTCAATGCAATAGATATGATAATTGAGGAGTGGAACATTTCATGACGTCAAAATGTTATTGGAAATGTTCTCTGGTGATGCCAAATGTAGGTTTTCGAAGAGTGGAAAAGGTGTACAGATGAGCATGAGGGTGACCCTTATAATGAACAACAAAAGCTCGTAGCAAAATCGACGTTGCCTTTGCTCCGAATAGCATTAAAATCTGGATCGATAGAGTATCTCATAATGTCTTGCACGGGATTGACTTTGACTGCGGGATATATTTTCTGACTTGGTGCATGGTGTGTGATTGATTGACATGACTTGACTGATCCCCATGCTGTCAGATCCTGATGCTAAGATCCAAGGTCTTGCAAGCAATATTTCGGCTTGTTGACACAACGTAGTGGCCATAGAGTACAGCTTTAACCCTAATTCCGATCAATAATCTGATATCTTATCATTATGATCCTCGGTGTCTGAAACTTCAAAACCCAAGATGCTCGGATGTAAGCTGTTAAGGAGACTCAGTCCCCTAGCATAGTTCCGTTGGCAGCTTCATCTGATATCGTAGTTTGCGGAGTCTTAGTTCAAGATGGAGAAAGTTTTGTTTTGGTGATTGATGTAAAGATCATGATGATTAGATTATCATCCAGAGATACAGAACAATCTTCGAGAGTGTGAGTACAGTTGATGGAGAGGTTATATCCAAAGAAATGTTGCAGATGTTGTGTTCAAGTGTACTTGCATTTGTTGTTTGAGCCAAACTTTAATTACTCTAATTATAGTAGTGGTGGTAGTAGTAGTAAAGCAAGGACCAATTTCAGGGCCAATTGAACCTTACCTAGTATTCACATTAGAAATCCACTCTTCACTTCAAGCTTATCGTGACCCCAAAATCCAAAATCATTCTTCACTCACTCTCCATCTTCACTCTTCAACTCTTCTTTCAACGACATCAGATGACAAATCATTGCTACCGTTGCTACCATTGCTATCATCACATCATCACCACCATAATTCCAAACGTCTTGATGTTCATATTTGATATCTCATACATACTCTTGCCCTTGATCAATTGAATACATCGTAAATTCCTTTTATTCCTAATGGTTTCGATCATCCGATTAAACGTCAACTGCAGTTCTGGTGGGCTGGCATTTTCATGCTTATCGGAAGGTTGGCAAGTTTTACCACCCTTGCACTTCAGACATCAACGGTTTCCAATCAACCCAAACACAGCCAACCTTCGTATCGACGTTTCCCCCATTTCATCCCATTTCAAGCAAGCTAGTCCATGTTCACGACTGAGTTGAGATCAGCATAGACCCAGATTAGAATCCTCGTCTGATATTTCTACATACTTCCTTCTCTTTTTTCAGATGACAGGTACTCCACGCGCTGCGACAACTTCGACCTCATGTCTGGTTTCAAAGCTTCTTATGCAACAGCGGGATCTCCATTGCCAATATACGCAGCAGAATTATGATCACTTCCGTCTATCCTTTTCTTGATCCACTTGAAGTTACACTACATTCACAGATGCCGCAATGCCAAGAAATAAGAATAAGTATAGACGCTTCGTCTTCTTCTTTTCTTTCAACCTCGTCCCAAGCAATCTCTTCTTCTCTCTCTGTTCAAAGTTCTTTGGCGGGTTCCTCTCTTTTACAGTTTCTCTCTTTTAATTTACTTCTATTCTATCTTGCCAGTCAAGTAGATCACGTTGACCGTGCATCTAATTTTCACGATCTCCCACACCTCGACGGTCTTCATTCATTTATACCACAATATTATTTCCACTTATAATTCCAAGCTTTAAATCGAAACAATGCATATCAGCAAAATCGCAAGTGTAGCTGCATTGATAAGTGTTGTAGCGGCAATTCCATCACCGCAAAAGGGGACAAAAGACGCTGCTACAGCTGCCAGTGGAAACGATGCATCCCTTACATTAGCATCAGATGCTATTCAGAGCGGTTCATTCGCGGATGGTTCAGGAGAAATTGGTGCGGCAGAAGTTGGACAAGCGAAATCAGCAACCTCGAAGAACAACTTTATCAACTTTTGCTCTGGTTCAACGTTGACAAATGGTCTACAAGTTACTACAGGATCATGTAACGGTATTCGTAAGTTTTCTGTGGACTACATCTAGTAGACACGCATCTAATCATAAATAGCAATGGGAAAACTTCCTGCCAAGACCGCCATGGTCTCTTCGACCATCATTAATCCCCCAACGGGTGGGAAAGGCATCCCATCAGACACCACCTTCAACATCACAGTTCAAATGTCAAATCTCGTGGCCGGATCCTTCACCAACGCGGATTCTACCTACTTCGCTGCACCCCAAGATCTCTCCGGCGGTAAAGTGATTGGCCACACCCACGTCACTGTCCAAGATCTCGGCAGTTCTTTGAACCCTACGAAAGCTCTCGACGCTACCCAGTTTGCCTTCTTCAAAGGTATCAACGACGCAGGAAATGGTAACGGTCTTCTTTCCGCTGTCGTGACCGGTGGTCTCCCGGCTGGAAACTACCGTGTATGCACAATGGCTTCTTCATCCAATCATCAACCAGTCATCATGCCTGTCGCCCAGCGCGGTACCGCGGACGACTGCACTAAATTCGTAGTTACCGGTTCAGGTACCACTGCGAATGCAGCTTCAAATGATGGATCTGGTGGTCAAGCTGCTGCTGCTTTAGCGGCAAGTGCAGTGGCTGCTGGGCCTAACAACTCGGTGGCAAGCTCAGCTGCAGCTGCAAGTTCGAAGGGTTCAGCTGCCAAGGGAAATGCTAATGCAGCTAGTGCTACGAGCAAAGCTACAAAAGCAACTAGTACGGCGAGCACTTCGGCAAAAGCAGCTAATACAGCGAATGCACAGGGAGGTAATAAGGGACAGGGTGGAAAGAATAGCGGTGCCAATGCACAAGGAGGGAAAGGAGGAAATAATGGAAAGAGACGCCGCTCGAGACTTGAATTTATTGCATAGATTTCTTGTTTAATCCGGGAGGTACAAGATATTTGGTGTCTTATGGACAGAAGAAAAGAGGTTGAAGATACTCGAGTACGAGTCAAAATCATTAATATAGGTAAGGCAAAGCAAGGGCTTGGGGATTGGGTAGAAAGGAAAGGAAAGGAAAGGAAAGGAAAGGAAAGGAAAGGAAAGGAAAGGAAAGGAAAGGAAAGGAAAGGAAAGGAAAGGAAAGGAAAGGAAAGGAAAGGTGTTTTATTTCCTTCTTCTCTTTTCTTACATTGTTTTCTTTCATGGGGGCAGATGCATTGGGTGTTAGTACTCTGCGATGGATGAGTGCGCGGATGAATGGCTTATTATACCTTGATGGGAAATATGCATCATGTATTTGATGCAATACGATGAGTCGAGGAATTGTTTACGAATGTCACACATAATAGATATCCTATTTGTTTATTGTATTGTGTTGTAGTGTAGTTGGACGCTGGATGTCACGAATGTAATATTAAAAACAAAATTCACAAGCAACTGTCGATTACTTCCCACGCCTCCATCTGAATATTCTGAATGAACAAATAATCTGAACTTCCACACAAAATTAACGACCTGTCATCCTATCTCACAATACACACACACTACTACCCGGGTAAGATAAAACATCCTACGCTTCGGTATCACATACCTCAGACGGTAGATCAGACGGGTGGCGCTTAGCTGCGTTGCATATGTTGTGCATATGTGTATATATTAAAAAGGAGGGGGGAGGTGAGGGAGTGTTTTTTATAGGATGGGCTGAAACAGGTGGTGTTTGGTGTGGGTTTGGAGTTGCAGGTGGGAGGAGAGGTGTGGCGGTGTGGCGGTGTGGCTGGGTTGGGGGTTGGGACGACGTGGGGGGTTTGGGAGGATTGGGATATATGGAGGGAAGAGGGGGGGAAGAGGGCAATGGTGACAAGGGGAGGTTGAGGGATGAGTGATAATGAATGGGTAAGTGGAATGAAATATAATGGGATAGGTAATTGATTTCTGTGAGGTTGGGGTTTGAGTTAGTGATCCTGTAGGAAAGTAATCAAGGCAGCATTTCAATCTGGTAGTGGATGATGTACTAACACATGTTTGTGGAAACTATAGGTAGACTGGAGGAGGTTCTCTAGAATTATAGGAAGATACTACCTAGGTATGTAAGGTAAATGTTTAGGGCTAATTCGATACATGACAGCGAGAGGATGTAGTCCGTGGGGGATATTCAAGGTGAGAGTTTGAGGATGTGATCTTTTGGTTTTTGGGGATTATTCATTGATGAGTTGTTTTCAATGTAGGAACTTGGATTCGAGTGTTGGTGTGATATGGAATGCTTACTGGAGTAGAACTTCGTTCTCGATGGGTTTCGATAAGTTGATGTTATGTTCGAGGTACTCGTACGTACTCTTGGTCTCGCTTGAGAGGGTTCATTGAGAGGAAGAAAGGTCTTCTGGTCTTGACTTTTGACTTCTTGTAGCGTGAAGTCTTGGATTGCAATGTGCAATGTTTGATCCCCTCAAGTTGTTGGAGGGCCTGCCTTTGAATATAACCACCGAGCTATATTCTCGGGCTGCTGCTTTCTGCTCCTCTTATGGACATGTTGTTTGAGTACCTAGTGGAACCATGAATTCTCATACGCACTCATCTATTAAGAACTTCAAATTCTAACAGAAGAAGCTACATACGGAAAGTATATGTTCTCATCTTACTGTCATTGTTCACTGAAAGCCATCAGTGCTGCGCGCTAAGATATACACATCAGGTACTGGTCTTACCACTCTGCCGTATATCTGACTTATGATTTTTGATGAGCTTGAGTGTCGACTTCGATACATGCCTGATGGTGTACGAATATTCGATGAGGCAATATTCAAGAGTTTTGAATCTTGGGCTTGAATGTCAAATATCTGGCTGACTGAGACTGAAAGCTGGCGTCGGATCTGGAGGGTCTATTTCTGCTTACTGTATATTGTGAGCTGAGAATAAAATGATGTCTGTAAGTGATTAGGCATCTACTAGAGAGGTCATTAAAGTGATGAATGGGGAGTAAAAGACGAAAATGCTATGGATGTATTTAGGTTTATCACCATTGCAGTCTCGTTGGATTGATGCCGATTTCAGCTTTCATTATTCAAGAAGCTGAGGAACATTGATATGAAAATGATGAGCCTAAAAGGTCTCATTGGCTTGCCCAAAGAATTTTATCTAGCGGGATATACCGTCGTGGTTGAAATTCACTGCGCAACGAGCAAACAAATAAAGAAATTAGTTTCAATTTCTACCCCCCCAGCCTTTCTTCGAAAACAGCAATCCTTCTTTTCGTCGCTCATTCAGCCTCAGACGATCAGAATCGCAGTGTATCAATAAATGTTAACAACATGATTTTGAACTTCCTCATCGCAATATGGGCCATATGTGGAAACTGCTGTTGCAGCTCCTCAGTATGGTCCCATCGAGTCTACCGTCACTGTTTACGCTCCCTGCTCTGAAAACTCCTGCTCCATTTCCAACTGCCGTAGCAAGCAACCGCATGCACAAATTATTGCAGATACATCTCTCCCTCTCTTTTTTGCAACCACCTTTTCCACCTATTCGTCAGTTGGATTTTCGGAATCAACTCGGACTATCGAAGCTTCCCAACCATCAAGATTTACTAGATCAATTGAGACCGCCGCTGGAGTAAGACAAATCCCTCAGTCATCCAGTGACGTCTTTTCCTTCATAGTCGTCGAAGGTACAACTAGCTGGTTGAATGGACAAACGCCAACTAGCGCTCCAAGTCAATCTTTCGTCGTCATTACGAGTGCTATAACAGTGGTTCCTGTATCGATTCCACCTCCACCTGCATCGACATCCGCGTCTAGCAGTGAAGTTGTGGTTATATCTACAGAAACTGTTATACCTCTTCCGAATACCCCTCCGGCTTCCTCCTCTCCATACTCTTTGACAAAACCCTCCACCAGTGAGTCTGTGATCATATCAACAGAAACGGTGATCCCCCTGTCAACTCTACCATTGCCTCAATCGTCGTCAATGACAACCGAAACCAAATCAACATCTACCGATGAGCCTGTCATTTTGTCAACAAAAGCGTCTACACCTCTACCAACTACTTCCCAATCATCTTCACCGATTACAATTCAGCCAGCATCCAGCAGTAATGTGGTAATTACATTAACCACCACAGAAACAACCGTTGTACCTCTCTCAACTCTACTTTCAACGACAACTGCTAGTAGTAAATCTACATTTACATCAGCCAGCGCAATTATTTCTTCCCAGTCCAGTACAAATTACGCATCTCCCAATGGAACGATGATTTCCAGTACTTCCACATTCGTATCGGTAACTCTTCCAACTGCAGTAGTTTCTACCTCGACAATTTCTTTCAATCTCTCGTCTATGGCCAGCAATCTTTCTACTACTGAAAACCCACTTTCGAGTTTGTCTCCTGTCCCAAGCCTAACAACATCTGGACCTGAAGTCTCTGAGAGCAGTATCAAGCCAGTCACTCCTTTACCATATACAACTCCCGTACCGGCGAGTTGGACAACCACACCTTTGCCTTCGGGCTCGCCTTCGGAGGTTTTGAGTAGTGGGGGCAATTCGACGGGGATTTGGACAGTCGCCTCAGCTCCATCGACCATTTTACCAATTTTTGTTGAGCCCTCACCATCATTGACTGCTAGCTCTAGTTTCAACTCAGTTTCGTCATTGGCCACTCATACCGTCTTTTCTCCAACATCTGTGGTTTCTCAATCAGCTTCAGGTAGAATATTTACCGGTATTGCCTCCAACTCCGGGGGGTGGAATTCAACGTCGCAAACAGCAGCGGAATCGACCTTCATTACACCTACGTTGGTTACAACTGGGTCTCTGACTACTTTGACTGGAGTGAGGGAATCACAAGCCGCTACTCAAACTTTCAATTCTGTTTTTGCCACTTCGACAACTTTGGACTCTTCATTTTCGATGCCGACATCAATCTCCAGCTCGATTTCGTCATCTAGGGATACTGTATCTTCTGCATATACTCCAACTTCTAGCTCGACTTCAACGTCTGGCTTTACCTCAATTCCCGGCTTCAATGCAACATCTTACGCCTCCTCCTTATCGAAGTCTACTTCAAGCTCAATCTTGATTCCGGTATTCAATGCCACTTCAACATTTCAATCAAGTTCATTGTCTACAACCGCGTCAACATCCACTTTCATTCCAGTGATTGAAGAATCAAGTTCCGTCACTTTCCCCAACTCAACATCCTCTACATCCACTAGCATCATTTCCTCAGCCACGCCCACAAACTGCGGAGAGCGTGGAGACTTCGTATTGACTGTAAGTCTATCTTCACTAAATTTCATATCCAGCAACTAACCAAACATCCAAACAGTTCGATGACGTCCCACCATCGTCCGTCTCCAACGCAAGCGATACTGACGTCCAGCCGGAACCATTATTCAATCCCTACCACCAATTTCTCTTCTCCGACGGTTTCACCGTCATTCCACCACCAAAACGTCTCCCCTTCCTCCCATCTTCAAAACCACTCCTCCTCGAATTCACAACCAACTTCCAAGCCAACTCCTCAGATAGAAAAAGGGGCCCTAACACCGCAGACCATAGCTTCTCAGGGCAAATAAGAAGTGGCGACGAAAGACACACCGGATGTTTCAATTTCAATCTCTACGGAGCATCACTCGGTTGCGATTCCACGGGTCCTTCATGCGATTTCACATTTACGGGATACAAGTACGACGTGGCTTCTCAAAAGACCTCTCAAGTCACCCAACAAATCATCCATGTTCCCGCGTGTCCCGAACTTGCGAATTGCGTTTTGACGACCGTGGATTTGGAACCTAGTTTTAGGAATTTAACTTATTTTCTCATGAGTGCGACGGTGGCGGGCGAACCGAAACTTTGGTGGATGGATGATCTTCGTTTGGGATGGTCGGATAATAGTTGTGCTATGGGTCTTTATCGTCAGAATTCTCATGTGCGTTAGGTTCTGGAGGTGTTCGGGTGCAATTTCTGAGAATTGCTGGGGAGAAAGGAGAGGATATAGATTCGCGTTTTAGTGGCCAGACCCAGGACTCGGGATCTTAGACAAGTGAAATCAAACGTATTCAATTTCTGAGATTATCACATACATCAGCGGGATAGATATGCCAGAATGGAAAGCCAGCAAATGGAAGAAGGGTTTCCTGTTTTCGACGCTCGGCTCGGAAGTTCAGAAGACTTCGCATAAATCCCCAAAATATATTGATTCAATCCGGAATGCAAGATCTACTTTACAACCCCTTTGATTTTCCTGATTTTAATTGACGTTTCCTCTTTTCTTTCACTCTACATGTAAGATTACCAAAATACTGATATGTGATTGCTCACCCTCATAGAATATGCTTAGTTTTGGCAGAAGAGATTGATTACACACCTGTTGACATAATTTGACAAGTCAAGAGAGCTTTCTATCAAGCTTCTGCCTTTCAAGTACCTTCAAATTTCCTCCCCAAGTAAATCTAACTTTCAAGGGAGGTAATGACGATTAAAGAAAGCTAAAGCTACCTACTCAGATATCCAATGAATCTCTCACCATACCTTCCCAAGGTCCAATAAGCAATCATCAACTCACATCCCCACCCACACAACCCTTCAAAACACCATCTCCATAACTCAGCCCCCCAGCGCGAACTATCTACAATGAACAAAGAAAGCACTCGAGCACCCAGCACAAGATTTCATCACCATGACTTCCGATACATTCGAAGACGCAGATGACAAAAGTAAATAATCCGTTCCGTCAATATAGAGAGATGTGCAACTACATACATAGAAAGATGAGAAGAAATGATTGGTCGTTGAGATGTGGTTATACTGATTATACTAATTATCAAGAAAACCACGGTCCCAGCGAAGAAGCGAAGGAGACAAGTACAGATTGACGCGGGAAAAATCAAGGAAATGAAACTATCGATCCGGAATATAAAAGTGATAAAGCAAAGCAAGGGACCGGAGGAAATACATTTTCACCATATCATGATTAATAAGAAATCTAGGAAGGGTACGATGCGATATAGAGTTTAAAAATGGGACATTTAAATTCGACGCTGCGAAATAGGTTATAGGGATGCGAGGGAAGACGAAGACGAGAGAAGGAATTTGTAGTATATATAATTAGTAGTTGTAGAGAATTGGTATGAAGAGAGTTTATCAAGAATACTTACTGTTTCTATACTATTCAAGAGAGTAGAAGTGTTTTTTGAGGAGTAAATATCACAAACATAGTTGGTATAGCTGGGTTTTAAAGCTATAGAGAGAAAGAGAGAGAGAGAGAGAGAGAGAGAGAGATAGATGAAAGAAGAATACCTACATGTACGCTTGATATTGAGAGTGGGAAAGCTAATTTGTTGTAGTAGATAGACAGACAGACATATACATATGTCTCTACTTGCTATCTATGATTTTCAGGGAAATCTACAAGCAGAATGAATACCTCAATGGTGATCCGGATTTCGATTAACAATCGCAATTCCATGGCGCAGGTGGAAAGCAAGAAACTACTTACTACTTACTTACTACTTACTTACTACTTACTACTCGTTCAAAGGATCAATTACACTGCAAGTATGTGGTAAGTAAGAAGTAGTAGTAAGTAAATAAATGACAAGTAAACCTTCCAGAAACAGAACATTCATACTCCACGTTTCTCAGCCACACATACACACACACACACCCGTGTGGACATTCTAAAAAAAATCCACCCCCCACATCCATCACTCCTCCCTCCCCTCTCAAAACCCATCCACACCAGCAAAAATTAAAAAAACTAAAAAATGAAGCTCCCGGCCTGGTTCGAACAAGCGACTTGGCGATAACGTATGATAACGACTTCTATCAGAGTGTTACTGCAATCGCCCACTCTACCACTGAGTTACAAGAGCTGTGTGATATTTAATTGTGGTGGGATGCATTATTTTACACTATATAGAAATGACAAATAGTATGTGGGGCGACTTTAGAGACCATATGGTAATGCAGTTAGAGGAAGCGTGTGATTGGTTATTTTGTGTTGGAGTCTGCGTGGGGGTCAGGTCTGAGAGTTGGAACTTGGGAGTATCTAGTGAAAGAAAGGCCGGAATTCGACCGCTCGGAAAATGTTCTGTTGGGTAACGTAACTTGCCGGTGAGCTTTTCTTTCTGCTTTCATCAATCTTTCAATTCCAAGGTTGTGTTAATTATATATTGAACGAGCTGTTTATTTTTACGACCTTGGTCTATCTAATCAATACAAACATATCATCCCGTGTCCATGAAGGTTAAAAAATGCAAATATATATCTATATATTTATCTATCTAGATCTATGTACCTTCTTTCTCAATGCGCAAAGATGGAAATGTCTTCTACATTCAATTCAATCCAGTGAAGAAACGCTTTTGTAAACCACCAACTCCTTGACCCGAAATCAGAAAACGCCTTTATAAAAATCTAATCCTCAACACCATTTCAACGATCGTTAATACTCCCATAGTTAGGTCTCTCATCCGATTCATAATTGCCTTCTTCCGACGCGATGGACTGTATGAGATCTTTTGTTTTCGGTCCCGTGTATGTCCTAGAGTTCATATTAGTATCATCCCAAAATCTTGTGCATATGAAAGAAGAAAGAACAATATACCTTCTCGCTCCAGCCCACCACCAACCCAAACTAAACACCGCAATAGCCGCGCCTACTGCCACCGCATAATTCATATTCTCCATCGTGACCGGTCGCACCGTTGGGAACATAAGAACTATACTTATAACTAACACCCAGGTACATGCTATCGCATTGAGTGGCTTTTGCCATATTCCAAGTGTGTATGGTCCGGGAATAAATTTCACGCGCGAGGCGTATATGTTGCGTGCTAGGATAACTGCAGCGTAAGACATGTCAAGAGCAGGAGCTGTGATGTTGAAGATTGCGACGATGGTAGCGGTGCTGCCGATGGCGATGGTGTTGAGTGCGCAAGTTAGGAGGACGATGAGCCAGACAGAGTGGAGAGGGGTGTGGGTGTAGGGATTTACTTTGGACCAGAACCTATGAAGTTCGTTGTTAGTATTTTTTGGTATGAAGAGGAATGGCGCAATGAGCAAAATGGCATGTTTGGAAATCCAGAGACTTGGGAACTTACTTTGAAAAAGGAAGAGCTCCATCCCTCGCAAAAGCATATGCCATTCTAGTATCAGCAAGCATAGCCGAACATCCTGTAAAAAATTGAACAAGAATGACAAAAAACCACATTGCAGTTGCACCATTCTTGCCCGCCGCATTTAAGAAGATTTGCGCGGCTGGCATTCCTGTGGGCGAATGAATGATAGCCTCAAGATCTGTTGCACAAAAACACAAAGTAACGGTGAGCATCCAGCCTACGACTCCAGAAATGGTAACGGCCCATCGAATAGCCATTGGCCCACGAGCTGCAGCATCGTGAGTTTCTTCCGACATGTGGGTTGTGCCGTCGTAATCAGTCATGGTCCATGCTACTGATAAGAATGAGAGAAAGAATGAAAATGGAGTTCCCCATCCAGATCCATTGGTGAAATTTGTGAAGACCCATGTTGCAGATTGTTTGTTGGGAGTTAGAATGAGTAGAGTGATGCATATAGCGATTGAAGCTAGGACGTTGATTGGCATGAACCAAGTTACGATTTGGTGAAGACGTCTTGTTGTTAAGGAACAGATTACTCCCAGTATTATAAGGATCAACCATGAGAGTAGAGCGGTTTGCAGTGCAGTTCTATCGGAACATGAGTACACAAAACTTCAGACATTGTTAAACACTTACGGTGAATAGGCATATGTCCCGGTGACCTCATCAAAATCAGAGTTCATACTCGCAGCTGCTAGAACAAGCTGAGAAACGGTATACCCCACACTGGCAACACCTGCAGTTTGACCAAGTAGATTACACCATCCAATAATCCAGCTCCATATCGCCGCATGTTCAGGTGGGACAACATTCTTCGTAACGAAGTACATGCCACCTGCCGTCGGATATGCAGAGACCAATTCAGATACTTTGAGTATATCAGTACAAGTTACAATTCAAAAGTGAAGATTTCTAACCTGAACTTGATATGATTTGTGCCATTACAGAACCAAAAAACCATGCCCATACTGATGCAGCTGGTCCACCCAGACTCAATGGGCTTCCAAAAGTAGCAGGAACGGATCCTAGGACACCAAGAACGGAGACCGCGTAGGATAATGTAGACCATTTGGAGAAATGTCGACGCAGGTCCTTCGCTATTGTTAGTAGGCATCACATTGATTGCGGGGGCAGTGAAGAAGGTTAACTTGAGTATAACCAATTCTGTTCAGCAATCTCTCATCATCGTTCTCGATGGTAGCCATGTTGCTACTCTTTTTCAGGCTCTGTGACGTGTCAGTCACGGAAGTCTCAATGACCCCAAGATCATTTTTCTGATCCATATTGGACAGATTTCAGGTATAATGTTGAATGCAGATATTTGAATAGCTTATGCAAAGTCACATACTCATGTGGGTTCGCAATGGAATATATACACATGCGCATGGGCTAACGGATGCAAAGGATGCAAGGAACGAACTTACTTTTAAGTCTGAGCGAAAACAGAATGCAATATCTCTTGCCGTAAAGACTAAATATGACGCAGAACAGAAGCGGTAAGGCCACAAGCACGTTGGGTCTTCCCACCCCAAATTCGACCCGGGATAACCTTACCTGTTCCCCTGTCAAATATACCCTCCAGAGAGAGCAAATAAACGAAATAATGTGCCGCCGCCACCAACAAGCCTTTCAACAAGCCTGGTCAGGAAACCTAGGACCTGCTTCTATTTCCAATTCATGCGTCCTGGGCCTGCATTAGGGCATGAACTTTATGTCAACAAAATCGTTCGTAAGTATGTTTATCAATTGTCGCTAGTTTCAGCCCAATAGTGGGAACTTTCTGAACGAACACGCAAATGAGATGGGGTCAGAATTCAGATGATGTAGATGATGTCGTGCAAATTGGAACATCGTGTACGAAGGCAAAGTGACTGACTGAAAAAATATACACATACATACAGGGATTCAGTGAGAAGTGGGGTGCGGCAATCGCAATCGCAATGGCCAATCTTTTTCAGGTATGGTTGTCTCACGCTGAATCGATAACATTTCCATTGTGTGAGTTGAAGAAGAGAAGTTATCGAATCGAATGCGGGGTCTCCGATAGTAGTAGATTTTGGTCTGATATGATAGTTTTGTGCCGCTTTGAAACCAAGTTATTTGGTTGGTAGTACCGTTATTAGTCCTATGGGGATATTCCGCAGTCCTGATCCGGTCCTGATCCAGTACTACTGGGTTCTAACTTGGACTGTAGAGTGTTGATTGACGTTAATTTTAAGGGTTTGCTGTGTGCTTATGATAGATGACATTGGAATAGCTAGGTAGAAACTTTACGGCCCAGATATTGATACATGATTACCTAGGTAGTACCGACCGACCAGTCATTTTTTCGGATTATATTTCGGCCCTGGCCCGGGACTGGAAGCTAATTTCCGTGGACCGTTGAGGATTTATCAGCATCTGTAGGTACCTAATTTTAGACGACGTATTGCCTTTACATTTTGATATACGCTCGAAAATGTGATGAGATTATTCGAACTTCGAACGCAACGCGAATGCGATGTTTATCCACCCTCGAAAAGCTCTGTTCTATATTATCAAGTTAGTGGCGGTGAAGCTCCCTTTTACGGACCCCCTCTTTCAATGTTTCCCCGAAGTTTCATCCCGTATCCATCGATCTGCCCCTTTAAGGTTCTTTCAGGGTGGAGATATTATCTTACCGAAGAACTCATTTTCTATAGGCCCCGTTCTAGAAGGGACAATTACCGTGCTAGCATCCTGAACCTTGATAGGAGTCAATAAGGCTGTTTAGACCCACGAGTTTGGTTCTGTTGGAAACACAACATCTCGAGCTTCCTATTGATTCATATGGTACAATTGCCCGTCAGGACACAGGACTGGCCGTCCGAACGTACAAGTACACCAAAACCGACACGAAGCCTGGAGGAAACTGCAATGGGAAATCATACCTGGTGGTTACACTACATATTTTGGTAAATTGACAACGATATAGATTGTTTGGGGGCGTACCTCTTTGATCTATGTCTACCCATGCCATGAACCCTCGTAAAGATCGGAGGCTCGGAAGCTTCCCTTTATGAAAAGAAACGGTTACTTCTCGCTGAATGCTACATTTCAACCTATACTTCGAACCGGTGGCTTGAGGGTGCTGATGGTTCGAGGGCGCTGAGCACCAATTGTCTCATATTCATATGTAGATAGTATCCTATCACGTAACAGTCATCAAAAGAATGACATTCCAAGAAATAATCTGAACAACTGTCGGATGCAGCCAGACGAATCCGACCATGCGCATTTTTAAGCTTTCTATCAAACCCTCCAGCCGATTTCTGAACGGCGAAGACTCGGCAGCACGAGGGATGAGAATGGTGACATTTAATTATTGGTTCGTATGGCGTTGGTATAAACTCTGTACAGGAAATCCGGAACGGATTCTCTTGCATTCATTCTAGATGCATTCATTTGAAGATCCCCCACACATTGTTTTATTTCTTTTTTGTTGCCACGCCGTACATGGATAAAACCTCTAAGACCTCGAAAATCTAGATCTCATCACATGACCCAATCAACCTATCACGATCCAACAACCACAGCAACATCACCTCAATCTGACGACAAAGTTGAGACACAGCAATCAGCATACAACGTCCCCCTCCAATCTCCTCTAAGCTATTCGATTCATCAATGAATCATACCAACCTATCAAACTTTTCCCATCTCAAACAATCACAGCAAGAATGAGTCTTATCACATGTTTCACATAGCATAATCTCTATCAAGAAGATGAAACCACACTCTGGGTGAACCTTGGCGAGAGATTTGAAGCAGAGCTAAATTTAAGCATGATTTGATACATGCCATCATGTGCCATCAGATCTTCGGACCTTGTAGACCTGATGTTCTGATGGAATTATATTTGTATTTTTGCCGATGTTCCGAATTGGAAAGATGGGTTGAAATAGAGGAGGAAGAGAAAGAGGGTCTGACAACAAGAAAGTTCACGAACGGGATCCTTGGGTATGGTGATAGATTGTGCTAACATTCACTCACTTTGATGATCATTCAAGAGGGGCGTCTTCCATATCCAAATTAGAATTCCTCTCATATGCCATACACAGCTCTCCCTTCGAATCCTCTACATCTCCCTCCTTACAATTATTTCATAGCTGTAGCTTCCCCTCTAGTCTGTGCATCCATCAAAGAACCCGCTAACCCCTCTGTCCAAAACAAGCTTTCCAGATAAAAGCTCTGAATTTCAGAATGAAGGCAGTGCGACTACTGCTCCAAACCATCTCTACCTCACCTCACCTCAATTTGCCTCATTCGCCCTACCATGACTTGTGCGCAAATTCCTTAGCCGATTTCAGAACCGTCTGAAGTATACCACTCTGTTAATTCTCCGGTAAAAATTCCATCTCACACAATCACGGCATGATTTAGCGTGGCTGAGCACTGATCGTGAAGCCTATATCAAACCTTCAAACCTTCAAACATCTCCTCTGGCACTGTTTGAGAATCTACACTTGAACAGCATTTCTCCTACATATGTATATAACCTCCTCGCAAACCACATCCGATATTTATATAAACTCGAACCAAACTTTCTAATACACTCTTTATTAATTACTCCCTTTTTCGCGGCTAGTCCTGCTGAATTACTCTCCTTAATATATTAAAATTGAAATTTGATATTTCATCCTCATTCCTTAGATTTACTGGTAATTCTTCTCTTCATATTATTAAACAAGATTAGTTCGTCTCATATACCCAACGATATCCAAACCAAAACTTCAAAATGCAATATTCATTTACCGCTCTTACACTCGCCGTCTTGGCAACGGCTATCCACGCCTCTCCTATTCAGTTGGAGACGAGAGAGTAAGCATTCATTACCTACCTATACCTTGAATTAGTATTTATCGACGATGAAATTAATATTGTAAATAGTATAATAGCAATCGCTGATCCTAACGCTGCCAATACTACAATGGCCGCTCCTCCGGCGCCCCCATCCGGTGCTCCTGCTCCCCCCGCACCCGCTGATGCAGCCAATGTTACGATGCCTGCACCCCCTGCTCCTCCAGCAGGTGGTGCAGCCCCTCCAGCTCCAGCTGCAAAAGCCAATGGCACAATGCCAGCCCCGCCAGCCCCTCCCGCCGGTGGTTCAGCTCCACCAGCTCCAGCTGCAAAAGGCAACGGCACAATGCCAGCCCCGCCTGCTCCTCCTGCCGGTGGTCCAGCCCCGCCTTCTGATGCAGCCAACACCACAAAGCCAGCTCCCCCCGCTCCCCCAGCTGGTGGCCCAGCTCCTCCAGCTCCTCCAGCCCCTGGTAGCGCAACAAACACCACCGCGCCCCCTGCCGAGGCCCGCGATCTAACCTCCTTTTCCATCACGGACACCCCCAAAGCAAACACGACCAGTTCTGCCAACACCACCACCATAACCGCCACTGTGACCGATCCAACCACCAACACCACCGGTACCGTGTTCCCTGGAACCGCTGCAAATTGCACTACATTCTTCATTGTCTCAATGGGAGATACATGCGATATTGTTGATGCGAAGAATGGGATCACGTTGGATACCTTGAGGAGTTTAAATACCGAGATTGATGCTGGTTGTGCGAATTTGAGTGTGGGACAGGCGCTTTGTGTTAAGACTTAGGTGTCGGGTGGTTTAGGAAGAGAAGCAAGGGAAGTAAAAAATAGAACTTGGAAAGTTTCAAAGTATGTTTGTTGTAGTCAAGACAAGTCGAAAGGTTGTCATTAGCCATAACTGCAAGGCCACTCAATCAATTACTACCTAGTCATCATTAGATTTTAGTCAATAGAAGCATTTTCCCAAGTTCAAAAAACTTGAACATACAATCGTTGTCTGATGAATATTTTTACAGTCTCTTTCTATCAAGCGAGCAAACAACAAAGAACAGCGGACTCTGCATTGGCTTGCGGCAAGTTGTCAATTACCAAAGCAAAGCAAGATGACAATAATGATAGACAAGCATGTTGACACTTGATCGATCCAAGACGTTGTAGTCCACTGGTAAATCACCCCTGTTTGTCTCTGTTGCTAGAATGCTATCTGTGTAGAGAGACAAGGTCAATGATGCATCCTATGTGTATTGGTCGTATCCCACTTGCTAATTTAACAATCTCTTGAACGTTTATATAAAGCAAAAGCCCTACCTACTGTAGAGCCTGAACTCTAATCATTATTATATAATCACTATATACCATATTCGGTCGACAGTGACAGTGAATGACCCTGGGTGTAAGTCTAGGTACGCTGTAATATAGATTCAAGAACCTTTATCAATCATAGTAAAAGATTCATTAACAATCTAACAACATATCACACTAGCCGAATGTGGCCTGTCCCTTTACTGTCCGAGGCCCGACCCACGACTCAACCTATTACACAAATCACTATCGAAGATCAAGGAAATTTGTTTCCATCCATTACCAACTTTATTAAAGAGTCGATGCGACTTCAAATACCAATTTGAATACTTGAATCAAAAACAAATTGTGACTTCGGCATTCAACTCTCATTATCAAGTTTGAATCAATCTTTTCAAGAAGAGAATCCAGAGCTACAGTACTTGGCACTCATCTTCAACATCAAATTGAACTTTGTACCAAAAATAAACCTGCAGCTACTAGCCTTTGTAGCAAAGAGCTACTTCTTAAGATCTATCCTGATTTCTGCGCTGTCAAGATAGTCAGGAGACATTAAACAGGTATGTGGCAATTGTTTTTTAATCATCATACAAAAGCAAATCCTCAAGAACTTCAAAGTTTCTCTAGAGACAAGTTTATGCTCTGGCTTTCAAAAATTCTGACGCAATCAGATATTGACAATGGCGCCATCGAAGAAAATTAAGGAAGTACTTGCGCCAAACAGTCATAGTTCAGACAGCGTTACGACGAAAGATCCGGAGAAAGAATCTGCAATCGAAGCGCATGGAGATGATAAGCTCGCTGCAACCGAGAAGATCCCCAAGACCCAAAAAGATCCAATGTGCCAGCATTGGAGTCACTTCAAGTATAATGAAGATTGCGAAGAGACAGATGAAGATGTCGAAGAAACGCAGACACCGGCAATCAGAAGTACAGGAGCCAGTCATCAAATTAAATACGTGATCACAGAAGAGGAAGCCAAAAATTCATACAAGGAATCAACAAGCAGCAACAAAAACCGGACACGAAAGGAGCCGATATTGACAAAATTTGTAACGTTCAATTACAAGAAGCAGCCAGTAACCATAGGATTAGAACATTGGCGGTCTCAACTTGAGCGATGGAGAGAAGATCTGCGAGATGAAGGTTTGATGGGTGTTGTATGGGACGAACGTGCTGAACCTTGGAAATACCAAAAGCGCTCGAAGGAGAGTAAGCAAATGGCTGCAGTTATCTGCGACTTCGAGACGCCATCAGAAAAAGCTGGCTTAGTTCTCCACTGCCCTGTTGAACATAAGGAAGACGAGCAGCGGGACAATTTCAAACCCCTTCACTGCCCATGTGACGATCAGGAAGATGGGAGCCCAGAAAAAGAAATTGTCAAGATCTATATCGGCCCGGAAATATTAGTGATCCGAGTTTACAAGAAGATTCTCTGCGAGAAAATTCAATACTTCGAAAACTTCTTTAATGGAACATCCCAAGAAGCAGCATCGAATTCCGTTACTTTTCCCAGTGGTGACTTCGAGGCTTTCCACGATTTGATGTGGTGGGCGTCTAATGGGCACTTGCCTCCATGGTCGATTTATCCTGATGGCAAAAAAATGAGTGAGCGCACGCAGCATGATTGTCCAGTCGTTCGGATCGAAACGGGGTTCAATTGGGGAGGGCTCTATTTGCTGGCGAGCAGATTGTGTGTAGAAGATTTGATGAATCTCATAACAGATTATGTCGTGAGAGCTCTGGAGTTAAATCGAGCCTTATTGACGAAGGAAGACATCGCTGGCATCTATAAGCATACCCCAAAGAATTGTGGCTTGAGAAAGCTGGCATGCTATAGCTTCAATTATGATCTAGATCGTTGTCCTCCAGAGCTTTGGCCACGGTACTGGGACATGAAAAAACGCATCGATGGCTTGGAGGACGACTCTGTTGCTCTCAGGAGAGCATTACATGGAGGAGTAGTAGCCTTAACGCCTTCTCACCATGCAACTTTCATGACCACCTTGATGGAAGAATCTGCCACCAAAAGCATTTGAAAGACCGGGAAGTAGGTATAAGACGTCCTTGAAAGATTCATTGAGTGCCGATCGAAATTGAGCATTCTGCGGGTTGATAGGTTCGAAGGCTGTGGGGGACTGGAGAGACAGGCGATATGCACAAGCGACTTGGTCTATTGTGCTGTAAGCAAAGTCGGAAATGATCTATCCGTGTCTCTGTACGAACTGGGTGTGGGTGTGTGTGTTAATTCTCGCTCGAGCAAGGTAAAATCGTGCGTGTCGGAATGTTGAAAGGTCAATCAAGGATGGATACAGGTCAATACGTGACTTAGCTAGACCGCCAGAACTATGTAGGTAGCGAAATGATCGTATTACCAAGGAATATAGCTGGTCTGATCAAAACAATATCTGGTCGAGTGCCGACGGAAGTGTATTATCAATGCTAAAATCATTTTCATCCAAGATACAAGCCGTGCAGATCTGAGTACCCGGTAAGAATATCGTCGCCGATACAAACACCACGATTGATTTTAGAGACATCTGACGTTAAATTTGATAAGGCTAATAAGTATCAGCCAACTAACATACCCGATCCTTTGCCTCGTGAAAGAAGAAACTTGATGGTGATATTTCATCAGAGCTTAATCAGGCCTGATGGGGGAAATTTTCAGCAGGACAGGTATGGCCCAGAGTTTGAGCCATTTAGCACACCGGCGAAGAGTAATGAATCTTCTTTAAGTGGTAAGAATTCCGATTTTTTCAGGCATCAGAGAACAAGCAAGTCTTTGGAGTTGGATGTCGAAGCAAGCTCGCAAGCTACCCAAGTGTTATGGGAAGGCGTCAGTGTAGCTGGAATCTCAAGTGTAGTACTGATGTACTAAGTATTCTAGAACTTTGGTCAACAATACTCTTTTTCGAACTTGTGTATGTAGATGAAGAGTGTCGCTGTTTTACAGACCACGAATGTTGTGTGTATTAGAGTACAAATTTTGAAACAAGAATCCGGATGTGATGGTGAGAAGGCCCGTGAAGTTCCACGTGCTTCAGCCCGGGCCACTACCGCCTATTATCAAAATCCATGACTTCCCCCTTCATCCGTACACGACAATCATGTCCCCATAAATCATCAATCATATTAGTGAACAAGAATGCGATAAACACTCACGTTACATGAAGATTATGTTGTGACTCTGGAATTCGAGTTCCTTGAGTTCTCACATAATTTCAGGACGCATTCGTGTGGACACATAGCTAAAAGAAATGTAAGTTACTGATATTGAAGAGGCGCGAGCGGGATATGCTTGCGCAAAGCATCTCGTGGCGTTCTTATTGCGTTAATCATTCCATTTTTATACGTCGATGGCGTATCAGTTGCAGAAAGTAATCTGTAGATTTCTGATATATTCGTCAAATCCCTCATCTCTTCAATGCTTAGTGAACAGCATCTTCGATTAACCTCAGTCAAACAAGATGGCAGACAATAAGCCAACTCTCCATCACTTAGATGCAAGTTCGCCCCTCCAAATCTGATGATAAATAACTAACGAAACTAGCACTCCCAATCTCAACGTATCCTCTGGCTTCTTGAAGAGCTAGGTATTGAATACAATGTCATCTACCACTTCCGCAAACCTGCCGATGATCCTATTGCCCCTTTCCGCGCTCCCGAATCCCTCAAAGCCCTCGGCCCATATGGAAAGGCCCCAGTTCTGACAACTGGTGCCGCGGATGGTAATCGATATATTCCCGAAAGCGATGCTATATGCACATATCTTCTTCGCAAGTTTGACACCGAGGATAAGTTTGGCTTAAATAGCGGTGATTGGGTTAGAGATGAGATCCTTACTTGTTTCAATCTTACGACTTTCGTGCGATCGGTTTACTTCGTCCTTTTTATTGATCTAGATTTCATTAGGAATGGAGTTGTAGATTGGTTTGATGGTCCCGAGTTGAGGGAGATTCTAACTATCTTGGACGAAGAACTAAAAAATGCACCGGAAGGTGGGTATTTCATGGGGAAGAATCCTAGTAGGGCTGATATTATGATGGAGTTTCCTATGAGCTTCGTAAAGCATAGGAACTGGGTCGATCTAGAAAGGGAATTTCCTAGATTGGATGAGTGGTTGAAGAGAGTTTATGATAGGCCTGCTTGGAAGCGAGGATTGCAGAAGGGTAATGGTTCTTACGATCTTAATGTTTTTCCCAAACGAGCTGTAACTTCATGATTGGATTGTATACTATTCCACTATAGTTAAGCATTTCTGGCATGACGCCCAAGTACCAGGTAATAACTTACCAACAAATCCAAAACAACCGAATCCAACACTGTAAAAAAAAACAATACTACAATCCAACCCCCCTAGTCTCTCCCTATTCCGCCGCACTTCCAATTCCAATTCCCCAACAGTATATTTTTGTACCATCATCAAACCCCCAGACAGACAGTAAACAATCCCAATCTGGAGATATATAACCCATACCATACATCCCCGCTCTCTTAATATTTTTCTTCTTCCTTCTCTCAGTATATCCCCGGATACATAGACATAGATCGAGCTTTGCTTTCTTACCTACCTACCTGCCTACCTGCAAAGATATTCTCTACAATAACACACAAAAAAGAGTAACTACCTCAAGCATACAAGTGTCAAGTAAGTCCCCACTCACACACACACCCACACCCCCAAAAATGTCCGACCTCCCCCCCATCCCAACCCCCTCCCCCCCATCCCAACCCCCTCCCCCCAACTACAACCTCAACTTCCCCCCCCCAACTTCCCCCCCAACTTCCCCCCCAACTTCCCCCCCAACTCCCCCCCCCCCAACTTACCACCCCCCTCGCCGTCCTCGCCCTCACAACCTGGATCATCATCGCCGCCCCTCGCATCGACACACTCCAGCAACAAATCCAGCACCAAACCCATCGACAAACCCTCCGTACCCAAATCCAACACCAACAAATCTCCCACCTCGCTTCACAACTCCGAGATCTCGAATTCACTAGCGCAGAACAACAACGCGAGATTATCGCGCTGCGGGAAGAACAGGTGAGGATTGGGAGATGGGGGAGAGGGGTGCGAGAGATTTTTGTTTTGGTGGTTTTGGGGATGGGGTTGTGGGGGTTGTGGAGGATGGTGTAGAGAGGAGAGGAGAGGAGTTTTTTTAGGGGATGCGTTTTTGGAATGTGGATGTGGATGAGGAGGAGAGTGGTATGGATGCTGGAGTTAATGCTCTAATTAACTGATATTCATATCTTGCGATTTTGGACGATTATTCACATGATAATTCAAATGATAAAAAAAGCATTCTTTCTATAAACAAAAACAATTGAGATGCCGATTTGAAAATTAATAGTATTAATAGTAATGCTTATATAAGAAATTTGAACAATGAATAAAAAACTCCTTGAAATATTCGATAATAAAGCCCCCCCCCCTTCCCCCCCAAAAAGTAAAAAAAATTCACTAAATTAATTAATAAGCCTGTCTGTCTATCTATCCTATAAGATAACTTCAAGTCAGATCATTAAAAGAACAACAAGCAACATTCGATATGAAAAGATTACAAAGAAGTACAAGTTCGATATAGCTAGAAGCGAAATCGGTGTCCTATCCTATCTCTATATAAGCGAAAAAACAGGCGGAAAATAACTACTATTCGGAAGAGCTTCAACAACCAAGAATTCTTCTCGATATAATACTAAATAATAAAACACTTGTTGCCAATATAAAGAAGACTCAAATTTTCTTTTGTTTTTTTAAAATTTCAATATTTAGTTTGAAATGAATTTGTAATCTATTAAAGAAATCCTTTAAGAGTACTCAATTTCTGTTATATGGATATATATATAGTAGTAAGCTATCAGGAAACAATCCCTGATACTGTGCCTTTTGGACAGATTGCGTGTGTGGCGTAGTGGTAAAGCTTACAACTCCTATTGTGTCCGCTTACGTAACAATTTCCACCTATTTTTTCCCACGATCTACCTTTATGCAAACTCCCCGCCCATCATCCGAACAATCAGTCACATTCGCGGGCCAGGAGAGTAGTCGTTGCTCATCCATTAGGGTCCTGGGCAGATTTCTAGAGGCAACACTCCGTATGATGGGAGTAAAGAGAGACTTTGGGTGGGAATCGTTGAAAAAGGCGTGTGGTGGCCTAGATGTAGATTGTGTCATGTCGTCGCAATCGCTTAGATGCGTGTCATTGAGTTTCCAGAGATTGAGTGCATCGCCTTCACTTATATTCTGTATCATCCAATAATAAGGGGTGACGATATCTTCTGTTGACTCGCGTCCTAGGGGCAAGAAGTCTTTGAAATTTTCCACTGATATATCATGCATGGCAAGCCGTAATTTGTCATCATCTCGAGGATCTAGGGAATTCGAGAAGGTGTATCGTTCCGCAGTGCTAGATATGTGCTCCACACCTTTGTTGAACATTAAGAGTGAAATCCACAAGGCCTCAGAAACAGAACTCAGTTGTCGATTTCGAAGTTCTTGAATGAGATCCCAAAAACAGTCTAATTGGTTGGTGGTAGTCATCTCCCATTTTTCTTTTAGGCAGAAACTGTGTTTGGTGTCTTCTGGGTTGTTCGATAATTTTTTCTGAAAGATTTTAGCAAAATTAGCAAAATCAAAGGTCTCATAACCATGCCACAACCACCCATACATATGAAGCCTAGGTTTCGGGCCAAGAAATTCAAGAGCATAACGTTTATTGTCCTTATATGCGTGGGTATTCCATAAAGCCTTGCCTCAGACGGGGAGCCCATGAGAATGATGATGGGCCAATCTCGATATCTACGGTCCGGTGAAGAACATCCTGCCCGTGACTAATCTGGAGCGTGATATGATCCCATGAGAACTGCTCAGTACCAAGGTCTTTGTACTCTATTCCGTCTGGCAGCCTCGCCAACGAGAGGTCTCCATTCAAGAGTGCCAAGCAGAACAGAGATACAGCGAGATCATATCCAAGCTCCTTAAGCTTCTGGGCATCCAAACGGACCTCAAAATTGCAGAGATTAGCAATTATGGCAAGACGATCAGCAATCTCATAGTTATGCTTTGTCGATAGAAATTCGACAGCTTCAGCTGCGGAACAATGATACCGGCCCTGATGTCTGCGTGCCACGTGGCTTCCCCGGCATTTGCGCAGAGAGCTGTCGAAGTGTATCTTCCATTGTTGATCTGGCTCTATGCTCGCTTTGAATTGCTCAATGGAGGGTAGTCTTGGGAAATGCTCGTCATGTCTGAAAGATTTCCGCCTGTCACCGAACCAGTCATCTTCACCATATCGTGCTGCCTCTCGTTCGTAATACCATACTTTCTTTTCAATGGTGGCTTGAAAAGCGCCAGCTAGCTAGGAACATGCGACCCGGAACTTACACAGGGGCAGTTGAATTTCTCCGTCGAGACTGCCCATAGAGTCCGGACGTATTAAAGCGGAATCGTACTTCAAGAGCAGAATTGTGGCGTTCGCAGCTGTATTCTTCTGAGCTATCCAGGCCCGGCTGAAATATTCATCTTCGGTGATCATTTTAACAACCTCGGCCATGGCAATAAGCTCTTTGTGGTCAAGATACTCTATCCATTTGCGCCACTCTTTCTCGTTTGAAACTGGATGAAGACTGACGTCCATAGCCTCCGTTAAGGCGCTTATCTGCTCCTGAGAGGTGATCTTGCATTGAAGTACTGCCAAGCATAGAGACGCGTTCTCGTACACAATATCCATGGCCTGGACGCCTATTGTTTTATCTGCCATATCATCTTGTATGATGCACTTCTGGTCGATCCAAACGAGCTGATAGCCATGAAGCAGGGAAGACTTGACTGCACGATCGATGACGGTGGACAAATTACCTGCAGCCTTCTGGGCATCAGAGTCTTGTGCTCCCTCCACCACCGCCGTATCTTCATTGTTAACCCGCCATCGGTATGAAACCGCAACGTAGTGATGACAGTTGGGCGCCTCCTGTATCAAGCGGAATTCCCTAAAGGGGATGCTGCGCTAGCGTACGAACAGGCTGGCAGAATCTCTTTACCGCGCTCGAAGCTTTCCTCTCATGAGAAGCAAGTGCAAGCACACATCTGCTCGGTAGGCCTTGGATTCAAAGTGTTATCGTCCCTCACGATAGGTGTCGGTCCAGTGAGAAAACGTAGATTTGAAGCCCAATCAGTGATGTTGTCTCGCTTGAACCTATACTTTTGTATCTGCTCTAATTGCTTTTTGGGACCAGTTACAGTGCGCTCAAACTTCTCATGCATGCTGGTAGTCTCGATTGGTGGACGCCAGGATGTCTTGGTTTCCCAGAGCCATGGAAAGAGATCTTGACTCATTTTCTCTTCTTCCCCGCGGGAAAAGTAAATCAATGGGATATTGGTGTCATCTTTCATTTGAGAACCAAAGGGGAGGTTAGCAGAGGAAAGCAATCTACTGAAATGTGCATACTTAGGCTCCCGCGCTTCTGGTGCCCAATTTCGCTCTCACTCCTCCAGAGCTGCTCGTTGTATGTCCATTTGAATCTCGTTTTGGAAAGTATCGCTCGAGTCATTAGGAGAGGAGGCCATTGTGTTTCTTGGAATATATCCATATCTATGATGTAGGCCTGAGGAGGAGAGTAAGGAGTAAAGAGAACAAAAAGAAGAACGAGTGATGCCTAAGAAGCGACTGATGGCCTAATGGAATTCAGGCTAAATTACAAATCATGTGGGCATACCATCGCTTGATTAAGTATTAAATACGGAGACAGGACACCGATTTCGCTCTTAGCTGTAATAAAAACAAACATATCAAGAGCTAAGCTGAGATCAGGAAATTCAACCAACATGGGAGGGAACCATTCCCATTCGGATGATTAAATAAACACTTTCATTCTTTCATTCTTTCAATTTTCCTCGAAATGAATTATTTAATAAACCATTCATATAAACCATTCACATCCATCCATATAACTCGAAACATACATCCCACATCCCTTCGATTCGGTATTGTACCTATTCAGACTACTGGTACCACCAATAGAGAGAGATGAGCAGAAAATGAACAGGAGAGGCGAGAGAATAGGTACCTAGTATCTATAGATGCGCGAATGCTGTATACCTAATCCAACTTAGGACCTCTCTCCAGTGATACTACCATCTACCATCGGAAAGAAGATGCCCTTAACATAAAAAATACCAATCTGACAATCCCCCCCTCTTCCCCCCTCGCCAACAAATTAGCTTCAAATCACCCATCTGAACAGCCACTTCTCATACACACAAAGTCCCCAACACTTTACTCAACTCTGCTTACTATCGAAATCACTATAAGTAACACGTCACACCAACCCAAAGGACCAATTTAAAGAAGTAGTTGTATGACATTGATTTCTTTTCCCATCCTATCCATCCGTTCCCATCCCGTATCTACATAAACCCCCTTAAAACCATACCATTTCCCTTTCCTCATATGCACAGCATCGATTCCCGAATATAATATCCATATCCATTAAGTACCACACATCCACCATAAGTAGGATTGTAAAAAGAAAAAGAAAAACCATTTGCTCAATATTATAAAAGGCAAATAAAATATCATATTTCCCTTCCAACCATATTTCGTAAAATCGTTACAATCATTTCCCAACGTGCCGTTCATCTCAATCCCGGAAAGTAGAGCAAGTTATAATACAAGGAAATAATGTCGATTAAAAACAAGAAGCTATATAGCCTCAACGAAGAGTATAATTGCCATCATCAAGGCGGGGCTCGATGAGCGAAAGCTGAGAATTCGAATTGAAGAAACTCCAAATTGCGCCATATGCAGCAGCGCATAATTCATGGATATCATGGCCAGAGAAGCGCAAATATGCAAGACAAAGAAATAAACGTATCCCAGATGGCGATGGAACAATGATCGATCGTCTATTGTACAGCAATACATGGACTATCTCAATTTCGACTGCCATTTTCCTTTTCTCTAATTTCAGCAAGCCTGGTATCAAGTCGAGTAAGTCTTGATTGCAGTGAAGGCCTTTCATCAAAATCAGAAGAATCTATCGAGTGACGTGGTTTATGCATGGTCACTATTCCAGAGTGGCGAACAGGTGTCTTTTGGTGATGAGCAGCTCTTCTAGGAAATGTATTACTTGGTTTCTCCATAAAAGGCGATCGTAAACGTGGAGCATCGAATGTGGCGGATGGAAGTAACCTTGGCTGGGATCTTGGCGACGGACTAATATCGGGAACAAGACCCGTCTTTTCTGATCCTATTGGAAGAGGTTGAAACAATCCTGGCATGCGGGTTCTGAAAAGATCATCACCGATGGTGAATGCTCGAGTCCGTACTCGTCGCTGTTGGTTTCCCGAGAGAGGCATACCATATATCTGCTCATTCATGCTATTTGGCTTCAAAGTAGCTCCACCTAAATTTAAATTTTCAAAATGATTTTGAACCCGCCTTTTGTGCTCCTTGTTGTTTGAAGGACGAGGAGGATCAAAGTGAAGAGGTGACCTAAGACGAGGTGCAGGTCCTGGACCTGATATCGTATCAGAATGAACGCGAAAAGCTGAAGGCCGAGGTTCATCAAATGCCCCATCCATGGTCGAGCTAGGTCCATACGTCCGAGCCATGAATGGTGACCCGAGACTTCGAGTTCTCGAGTCGTCCAAGCTCAGATTTGTGGTACGAGATCTAACCCAGCCCCTAGGTTGACACATTGATCTGCGCGGTCTAGCAATGGAAGATTCTTGGGAAGTGGCTAGTTGAGCTAAAGGTCCATTTGGTTGCATGGTTTCAGATGTACTTGTCGTTAACGATATTGAGATATCTTTAGTATTGAAAGTCTTTGGAACAGGAACTTGTGGCTCGGGAGTTCTGAATCGTGAACGAGGATTATGTTGTGTAAAAGGAGTAGAATTTCTAGATTGAAGGTGCATATGTCGTTGAACAGCGCTGGTATCTTTTGTCTTGCAAAGTTCGCGAAGATGTGCGCGAGTAGCTGAGCTTGTGTGGGGCCACTGTGTGTATGTTCGTTGTCGATCTCCAATTGGGGTTGCAAGCTGGTCGCGTTCAGAAGGCGCCGCACGTGATGGATGATTGGAAGTTTTGGCACTGTGAATTCCTCTAGGTCCCTTCCAACTCTTTTTTGCTTGTCGAGCAACACGATGGCATACACCTTCCGGAGGCACAGCGCACGCTCCAATTCGAAAAGGTGTCACGACTGGATCTTGGAGATAGAGGAGATAGACCGACCACAAATGAGAACTCATTGCTGAAGTCCACGGTGCATCCTTTCGAGTTTTGTGACGGAGGTTTGCGTTGAGAACGGTATCATTGGGTTTGGTGGCTTCGTTGTGTAGCTTCTTGCCCTTGGCTTTTGAATATGATGGAAATGAGAATGGATCGGCGCAATCGGACTCGGGACTTGTACAACTACCATCTTCCGAGTACCTTGAGAGATGGCCTTCACTGTAAAATGAATCTTCAGAGCGTAGCGATGCGGCAGATGTTGGTCGTTCAATATCAAGCTCACTTGGCGACGAGAGTCCCATTCTCCAATCGGGACGTTGAAGGTTTGTTTCTTCCATGGCTAAAGTAGGTATTGGAGTTTTCGGAGGAGATGAGAATCTTGTATTGTATGTATGCGGGGCCAAGAAAGATGTACTGATGGAAAGTGGGTCTCGGTCTGGCATATCGCAATCTGACGATACGTGGGGAGCTATTTGTGGCTCCTCGATTGTAGGGATAGGGATATCTGCAGCTGCAACAGAAGCGAGAAAATGTTCAGTTGGTGCTTGCAAGTTCGACACATTTCGTCGTCTGACCTTTAAACGATTTGGACGGGGTGGAGAAGGTGGACCCTCCGATCCAACAAGGTCGAAGGGTTCGGGTGTAGTTGGCTGATCTCCTTCAAGATGATGAAAGCGGAAACCCCGAGGAAGGGTATTTGACCCATTTTCATGGTGATGTGACATCGTGTTGATGAATTAGTTGAAACGTTTTCAGATTTGACTGAATTGTAAAATGGGAAAAGTGGGAATTCGATCTTGTACAGAACGCCAGAAGCAAATCTCACTCGTTGCAATGCAATTTTTCAATTTACAGGAGACGTGAAGTGTAATGAGAAGGCCGGAAAAGTCGAATAGATCGAGAAAGAGGGTGGATTGTGAAAAGAATCCAGAAAACGAACGTTTTGGTGGGTGATCAAAGGTAAATGAAGAAAATCGTTCGTTTATTCGGGGCGAGCGAAGTGAATATATTCAAGCCAATGTGAAGCTTGAATTTACCTCCCAACTTCAACAGATCCTGTCAATAGATGTTTTGGAAAATTCCTTCTGAATGCAGACTGGTGCGAAGGAGGCCCTGCATAAACAATTTGATGTTGACGATCTTGAAGAACCGAATCAATGATTAGGGTGTGATTTAATTGATAGGCTTGAACGAATCAGGAACTGAATCCCCAGCTATGACTCGGTATTCGTGGGTAGGGCGATTCTTTCAACCAGTTGATTGACAATTTGTAGAGGGTCCCGGCGTATCGTGAGATTAATTCTTTGTGGAGATTGATTGATTGCGGCCGTGCTTTGATAGTTGACTGTTGACTTTTGCGCGCGTATCGTCGCGATTGACTTTCTGGTATATTCACCCTTCAAATATTATGATTATTTTATCGCGGTCGCACGATTGAAATTCCGTTGTGAAAATATTATTACCAGATAATCGATTGCTCTACCAGCAGAACGAGGAAAAGAAATCCGAGCGAGAAGCGAAGTAGTGGAATAAAAGAATGTGTGCTGTAGTGAAATTCGCAGATCGCGAGGGAGGACAAATGTGGTGTTGTTGTATGAATGTTGTTGTATGAATGTTGTATTTGTGAAATGGCGCACGTCTGCCGGATAGGAAATGGTGATCACCGTACTCAAGGCGCAAGAGAGACAATTGAGCGAAATCGATGATTGAGACCGAGACCGAGACAAGGGAGTATCTTGATTCGGGTGTCTAATTCCTTTCCAATTTCCTACGGTGCGAGGTGATGCGATAGAATGCGATGCGATTCGGGATTTCGATGATACTTGTTTCGGTGAAGGGGCGAATTTAATGAGGACGAAGACGAAGACGAAGAAAGGAGGTTGATTGTTCCTCGAGAGTCTTGTTGATCGGATCAACTAGAATTGAAGTGGCGATAGGCGTGCGGGAGTAAGGTAGAAGAATGAGGAAGCTATTCAGAGGTCGGATCGTGTCGTGAAGATGGATAGAATAGGATAGTAAGGAAAGATTAGGTATGCAAGGCAAGGCAAGTGCGGCGGGAAGGAGTTAAAGGTGGGTGGGTGATGGATGGATGGATGGATGGATGGATGAATGGTATGGTGGGTGTGAGGGTGTGTAGGTTCGATGTGGAAGTGAAAGTGAAGCGAAGAGAGAGAAAGTGGGTCAAGCGTCCATATTGGGTGAAAGTGGCTCGAGAGTGGATCAAACAAAATGAGGTTTGGCGCGTCAGAATTTCATCGAATGGGGGAATATGATTGGTTCTCAATGAATCTTGTGCCATATTGAGTTTTCATTGGTCCAAAGCTGACGATCAAAACAAATCAATTCATCAATGCACTTTCGGATACTTTGAAAAGAAATAAACTCCAAGTGTTAGTTGCGATCAGTGAAGGGTGATGAAGTATCGCAATAGAAAATAAATAATGTATTTTGAATACAATAACGGTACTTATTACCAGATATTCTCTCCTCGTCGGTTCGTAGACTCGTAGGTACCGGTAAGTAGATTTCTCATCGGTCTATAATTACCTACATCTCTGGCATTTTATAGCTTCAGCCAACATCCAATCCAGATGAATCGGCAAGAAATACCCAGGTAGGTTACGCAAAGTCCCTGGTTTTCGTATTCTTTTGGGGATGTCCTTATAAGTTGGCAGCTAATGTCCACAATGTTGCAGTAGCGACATGGCTAGAATGATGAGAATCACTAGAATTGGATACTGGCACGGTGCACACACTTCCATCTGCAAAGCACATTCGTCTGCACTGACCAGGATTCATGGCATGGTGCAGCATCATCTGTTGTTCATCTCCATCACGAGTGGGTATTTTGACAGTTAGGACTTACAGCAGGTACAGGACACGCTGCACGCAGTTACATTGCATGAGATCCAGCGAGTCGCAGGAAGAACACCATGTTCTGGTACTTGCTGTATGTAATATGGATGCCATGTATGGTATGCAGTAGGAATTGGTGAAAGCTCGTGTGGAGTTCTTGGACCTGCAGGTCTTGGAAAAAGGAGTGGGACAGCGTTGGCCAATGCTCCGAGACTGTTGATGTGATGTGATGTGATGAATATGATGGATATGATGTTTTCCGTCTTCTCTACTTGTACTACCTAGGTAAGAGAAACGCTTTGTTTCAAGGGTTGTGACTTATCGTCCTATCTGAATTGCCTAGATACGTACGTAGTAGGACTTTATCGACTTGGCTCGTACCAACATTGTGATTGGTGAATGATCCTACTGTACCTAAGATGGTAGTAACTCCACATCAAGAGGGATACATAGGTAGGTAGATAAAAAAGAAAATGGAGGGGTTAAATGTCAAATGCCAAATGTCAAATGTCAGGGAAACGACAAGACGGGAGAATCTTTTGAGTTTGAACTTTAAAGACAACTTGATTAGACGCAAATGTAGGGATGGGATGAGATGGGATGAGATGAAATGAGATGAAATGAGATGAAATGAAATGGATTAAATCAAAGATATAAAGAGAAATGGAGATTAGAGTATTTAACAAGAGATGATGTAAGAATTAGGTAAGGTTATTTCAAGGTCGAGTTCAAGTATTAAAGATAGTCTATCGAATGATTATTCTTTTACTTCTTTCCTCTCTTCCACTCTTTTCTTTTCTTTTCTTTTCTTCACTTCATTTCACTTCACTTTACCCTCTTTTCCTTGTCTTTTCATTTCTTTCCTCTCATTCCACTTTCTTTCATTTCTCTCTATTTTGGTGGTGCAAAAAGACGCGTCGCTTAATCATCAGATATTCACACGCGTATATTTCGCGTTTTCTCGAATCTTGGGGATCTTTTAAACAATTCGATTGGACAGAAAAGTCATTCCTTGTTCTTATATGCTGTACTACATCAAACATGCATAAGTGCTAGGTATTTTATGCATACCTACTTCTTTTCCTTCTACTTTTAGAAATTCCGGCCCAACTTCTTTTTCTAGTTGAGAATTCTAGCTCTGCTCTCCATCTCTTCATTTCATCCATTTTCATTTTTCAACCCTCATATTTTCACGATATGACAATAATACCACGAAAAGGCTGAAGCTAGCTACACCGACATTGCGATATCACATTCTAGAATGAACCTATCCGTCTCGGCCCTTTGGATTGTACGGTGTGTGCTCGTTTTCATGGTTCATGCATGAAGAATAAACAAGCATCTCGAAGAAGAATAAGAACACGGGATGAGATAGAGATTTACGATGGAAGGAATGTCAAAACTCCAGAGCTCCAGGTTTTGATACCATCCCTGTCAGAATTTGGGGCCAAGAAGTGTCTGGTAAGGTCTTACGAGGTGGAGTGAAGAGGAAGAGAATGGCATCATGAAAATGCTGTACTTTGCGACACTCGATACTGATATCGTCGACACTTCTTTTCCTATCATGTTTGCATATTCCTCTCTGAATCGAGTGACTCGGATCCATTGGGCTTGATCAACAACTTTGGTATACGATGTGATGTGTACACACAATCGCGTCTATCCCACATTCTCAAACCTTGGCAAATACCTCAATACATCTTGTCATGCTTGTCATGCTTCTCATGCTTGTAAAAAATGAGAAGAATTCCTGACTTTATTATACACGTGATATATACTTCCACATCACCTTACTTTTTGCCTCAATACTATATCTTTTCTTCTGAATCAAGTCGTATTTTATGAGAATCACAGAATGATACGACAATCATTGCCATATCATTTTGCTGAGCGAGCTTCATATACGCGCCACACTTACATGGCTACCGTCCACCTGATTTGAGACATCAAATTCCTTTTCAGTCTTATCATACCGTAAGGGGTAATATCATTGCAACGTATTAACGATTACTCTGTCCATTTCATTCTGTACTTTCCTTACTATAATTTCATCTTCAAGTTTCACGAATGATCAAAAATGGTCCTGTCGCAGCAATCATTTCAATTTTTCAAGTTTGGTTTAATATTCATTGTTACTATTGGTTTCGGGTTCTATCTTTTTTCAGATCACGATTATCATGAGACACTTCAAATCGCTGTCTCAGGGAAGAAAGGGATCTTCGTCCAAAAGGCTCTTCGAACAGATATTGATGGACCTTTTGATGATTCGACTTTAGTTGAAGTCTGCGACAACACGGAATGGAGAGAAGGGTTGATTTTCCAATGTGAAGCACCATATGGAGGAGTTGCGAACATTCGAAATATACTATTGAATTGTGTTCGATATGCCATTGAAGCTGGAGGTATGATCTCTCATCCTTAATCTTTCGTCTGCTAACTGTGTAGCAACATCAATTGTCATCCCAGAACTTAAACTTTGGATACCTCATAATGATAGGCCAAACACACCGGATCCAGAACTGAATACCGGCTTACAGAGTAGGAAAGAAAAGGATAATACTGCGCACGTTCCATTCTCATACCTTTTCGACCTTGATTTCTTTAAAGAATCTTTGACTGGAGCATGCCCTCGAATCAAGTTTATTCCACATATCAATGATTTATATACGGCTCCTAGCACTCAAAATCCACATCCTCTTGATCCGGGTTCGTTATCCCCAGAGAAATTAGAAGAACCATTCGAATCTCCCCTTGCCAATCCTGGCACATGGGCTAATGATTTTACGACCTGGCTCAATGAAATAAATTTTGAGTTCTCGGAAAAGCTGCCAATGCGTGTGACAATCAAGGAGTCATTGCTACATTGGCCATTGAAGTACGATAATCCGGACTTTGTCTCTCAATTTGGACGACTAATTCGGCCCAATCAAGAAATCCGCACTCTCGCCTCAACAGTCCTTTACGCACTGTCTCAAAAGTACAATCTTCGATTCAATGCCAGTGAAGGAATACAAGATAAAATGTACTATGGCGCACATCTTCGAACAGGTGAAGACGCAAAAGCAGCCAATTGGACCGGTGTGGAGAAGCAAACTCAAAATTATCTTCAAGCATGCAAGCACAATAAATTTCGAGTAATTTATCTCGCTTGCACCTCTGAAACCGATATCAAACACTTTACCTCTCTCGCTCATAGTTACACTACATATCATATCCACGTCGCTACGGCTGCCAATCTGCTTACTCTTCATCCCAAAGATCTAGCGATCTATACCTCTCTCTCTTCACCCCAACGCTCTCTAATCGACTTTGAGGTCCTGCTCAAATCTTCCATCTTTGGCGGTACCCTCGAATCATCATATTCCTGGAATATAGCACTTCGCAGACATATAGTATGGGGAAACGGAACATGGATACCACAAGCTGAAAATTTTGTGTTTGATCGTGGGGAAGCGATCAAGGATCAGAATGAGAAGGATGCGGGTGCGATAGGGGGACCGGTAGGGGGGTATGGAGGGGGTGGGTTCCAGAGTTTTAGAGATGGAGCAGCGGGGACGGGGAAGGATGGGTTGGGGAATCCGGGGAGGGGGGGGTATGGGTTGAGTGTGGTTTTTGGGGATCCGTTGAGGGGGCAAGAGTGGGAGAGAGGGTTGTGGCCTTGAGGTTTGGGTCATTTTGAGGGGGGTGGGAGGATGGATAGTGTGTTTTGTTTTGGAGTTTGATTACTAATTTTTTTGATTCATGTTGTGTTTGGTTTGATTGGTATTTTATCTTTGTGATAAATTTTACGTCTAATCTAGAGGAGTTTGAGTATTATCAATACTATACATGAGATCTAGCGGATGAATTTCGATCTTGATGATCAAATCTTGGTTAGAAGTTGCTTTTTATTTCCTTATAGCTTGGGGATTATCGAGTGACATATACCTACTTGAGGAAATTCTGTCACATAGTTCGAGTTTTACCGATCATTGTTTAATGAATACGTCTTTTAGATTTCCAATCTATATAGAGTTAATCGCAAACTATAGATTCCAATCTATACTAGATGGAATCAGAATAGAAATCGAAAAGTTGAAGGGGAAAGGAAAAGGAGTATTTTGCTGTGGAATCCGTTTGGGTTTTAGTGAGAATCGAGTTATTTTAAATCTGAATCTGTTTTGTGCTAGCGAGAGCTTACTCTTTTATTATTGAATCTACAAGGTATGGAAGTATAGGTACTATCTTCCAATTTAAGGCATGGAAGTAATTAAATGGGTTTTGGGGATGTGAGAGTAACTTATTGTACTGTCAAATTGTTGTCGAATCATCTGAATTATATCGAGCATCTTTATTAATGATTTTTAGATTCCTTCTTTATTAATTTGAATTTATTTCCTTTCTCTTTTCTTAATTCTACATGCTTTTCTATAAATAAATACACGAAAGAATCCAAAGGAAGAAATAGTGATGAGTATTGGCCAGATTACCTGGGGAGCTTTTATGTAGACGGCTATTACTTGGGTTTGAGTTGTAGCAGACAATGCATTAATCGTCCCTTATTCAAATACGCATACATACGCCTGTCCATTATCCAAACCACGCACCTCCTCATCCCGCACCATCTACAAATATCATCAATCTGATTAAACACCATCGACGCAATCGTCTCGTCGAACCCCACAAAACCAAAAGAACGCATAGATGAATACGCATCGGTAGCAACAAGCGTGCAGATGAGAGTTGTGAAAATTAAACCCATGCGCTGGATGTGATGATTTAGTATCTGATCCAGGAACCGCGGTTGGAGGTTGCGGGTAGTGTTAGAGGTACGGATTTGATGGTGTAGAGTGCGGATCTGATACTGCGGGGAGGGATGGAGAGATTGGTTTTCGATAGAAACGCTGCGCTGAGCCGGTCAATGGGGATGATAGCCAGCGCGAATGGGAGATGTTAGATACAGTCGATACCGGAATCGAGCGGGATGCTTCTTTCACAGCTTGGAAGTAGACGGGGGGGAATAGTTCGCAGGAGTGATGACAATGGATCCGAGGAAGATGAGGAGGAAACTTGCAGATGTGCGGTGCTGGAAGAGGCGAGGGGCATGGGAGTTGTGCATCAACAGGTGGAAGATTCGTAGAGGTGGGAGATACATCAGTCGAGGAGACTGAGAGTGAGAGGAACGAACGATTATCTGCCATGATTTCCGGGGATATCGCGTACGCTCATTATTAAGTCTAGAAGTATAGAAATGAAACTCGGATGAATATCGCATTCCTGAGAAAATCTACCGCGTTTGATGGGTTTCTCCATTCCGGATTTTGAGGATCCCGAACTCGGAGATGTGATGGAAGAATCGGAAATTCCGCGGCGCACACAGGGAGATTAATCCAAAATACTCATCTCCAATTGCTCTGTGCGAGGATACCTCCAATTACCGGTGCGATGGTCGAGCTAATCGCTGCCTTGGATAGAACGCCGTTTAGATGGGGGCCGCGATGGCGCGGGGGATGATATCACAGAGAATGATATCGGCGAGGATGTACAGGCCGCTTGTGCCTAGATCTTGGATTGTGCGGGCCGCGATGAGGGATGGGGAATTGTGGCAGCGCCTGCGATATCGCTGCTGAGGTGGAAGAGAGAGCGAGATGAGGATGGGGTACGTCGACCAGGTTGCTGGAGGTTTGTGCGAAGAGGTATTGGGGGCTGTGGAGGCGAAGAGGAAGGTGTTGATTACTCCTGGGGTGTTGGGGGTTGGTTTGAAAGTTTGGGTTGGGAAGAGGGGAATGATAGATAGGTGAAGATGAGAAACTTATAGATGTCATCTTGTCCGTAGCCAAGTTCTTGGGATGTTGTAGGGAGTGCGATTGTGATGACGGGTGTGTTGATGGAGGATAGGAGGGGTAAGAGGAGGGGGCGAGGAATTTGGAGAGGATGTCCCATGTGTGTTTTTTGTTTCTGGGTTCATTGCGTTGTTTGTTGCTGGAGATTAGGGGCCGTGGATCTGGGGTGTGGGAAATTTGGAGGGGAGATTGTCGATTGGGATGGTGGGAGATATGTTTTGCGGGTGCTGTTTGGTGGAGTGAGGGGATGGTTTGAGGGAGAAGGGGGTTTGATGAGGATTGATGAGGTATGTGAAGAGAATGTAGATTTGTGGTAGGAAATCTTAGAGGTTTTAACGAGAAGAGAAACCGAACTGTGAGTATGAAGTTCATTATTTTATCGAAGTTATATCCAACAGTTGTTTGCATGGTCACGGTGGACCTGTTTTTTAATTTTTCTCAATCTAGCTTTTGAAATACGCTCATGTATCAATATAGTATCACTACCCGTTCGAGAACAATTAGCTTAATTGGAGATCACTCATGGCTTGTATGGATCAAACGAAGAGGCACAGAGTTTTGGGAGTAGATAGCTGGGAATTTCGGATGAGGGATGTTGGAATTATATTTGTATGCGTTGTTAGGTAGGAATTTTATCAAGGGAGAGAATTTGGATATTGATGTTGCTGTAAATTGTATACTACTTACTCATCGCTTTCAGATATTTACTTACTTTTCCTTGATATCATTCAATAATAATAATAATAATCATATGAGCAGCATAACCCATCAAACCATCCACTCCAAACCACCCATCACAGTTCAACTCATCCACCGCAATCCCCTATACCGTATCTCATCATCCCAGCATGCATCAATCAAGTAAAAGCAAAGAACCAATCCCAAGATCTTATTCTCATCCCAACTTCCACATATCACACTCTATCTCCAACCGAATATCGAATCCCCAGCATCGATATCCCGCACGATTTTCTATCTATGATTCTTCTGTATTTTATTAAATGTATTATCTTAAATAAATAAATAAATCTAGATAAAGTAATAAGTAACTCGAAATCCAGTATTAAAAAATAAGGAGTGAGATCTCATTCACTTAACATCTAGATTCTGGATTCTCTTAAGCGAAACATCAAGCGGGAAATGATTACTCTTCAGGTCTAGAAGGAGTTCAACATTTTATTTTTCGTCATGCTTGTTTAGTTCTCTTTATATGGAAAATATCTAATTATACAAAATTCTCAAAATGTAAATGTAAATGCGCAGGTGTTTATTCGCTTGTTTGATTGTAGATTCATTCTGTTATCTTATTCGTATGGAATGAATTCATGATTTGAACGGAAAGAAGTGATGTTGATGATGCTCGATTCGATTTCCATATAATTATCTTTCGGCTATGTGTAAGGACTAGCCAACGCAATGTTTGATAGGTTTCTCGCGTAATATACATATTTATTTATTCATTCAGGAGATCCCGGAGTATAGCAGTTGGGATTACTCATTTCCTAGTCATAAAGAGACGTCGAATTCCTGTTCTTGATTTATCGAAGCCCTAAAAACCTCAAACCTCACTCTCAAAACCATTCCTCAATCCCCACCATCGCCATCACCATCACCATCACCATCCCAACCCCTCAAACCCCCTCCCAACCACAACGCTCAACCACATCCCCTACCTCCTCACCTCCCTCCCATATTCCTCGACGGGCTCTTCCACAGACTCTCTCGGCCGCGCTCTGCGCTGCTCACCTGGGTACGCCCCCTCCATCGCCTCCTCCCCTCTGCGTAAACCGTTTACTTCGGTCACACCATGCGCACCAGTACCCTCGGACTCCTGACTCTCATTTCTACATCCAGGGAAATCTGCACGCGGTCGATACCTCCATGGTGGTGATGGGCGCGTATTGTGGAATCGCGGATTGTTTGATTTTTTGGTATTGAGGAAATCGGAAGGTGGTTGCGCTGAGGTTGGTGAGTGTGTTTGGGATTGTGATGTGGGGGTTGTTGGGGGGAGGGGGTGTGACTTTTGGTTGTGGGATTCTTTTGTGGATGTTCTGGGGTTTGTGTACTGGTGTTCAATTGTTGTAAGTCTTTCTACCGTGCAGGAGGTTTATCTTACTTTCCATCTATTCATCAAAATCGTCTAATGATTGGAAGAGACGCGTGGATGATACATCAAGTAGACGACACGACCTCTAACCTTATAAGCGAATTAAGAAGCGGAAATTGAGTACTATTTGAAAGGATTTCAATTATTTAAATCTCTCTTCCATATCATATCAAACACACATCATCCTATTTGTAAATTTAATGAAAACTCAAATTTTCATTTACTCTTCTCAGATTTTAGTATTCTACTTGAAATCAATTTATGATTTAATTAAAGAAGGTCTTTGAAAGGGTACTCGATTCCTACCTCCTAATATCTCCAATTTCATCATCGTAGATACAACGACGATGCATGTGGTTTTGGTGGATTTGATAGTTAATCAAATGATTGATTGGGTTTTCACACTTGGATGTTTCTCGATGATAGTATTTTTTCAGAGTTCAATACTCTGCAATGTATGTTCCAATATGATATTTCGTGAAGCTTTCAAGTGTGATGTGATGTGATGGATTCCGTGCACTGAAATGGGGTTGTAATCAGTGAGGAAGCTTGAGGGGTGGAGTAACGTTAGCTGGTTGCTAAATGTTATCAATATTATTAATAATAGTATCGAATAGCATTTTGAATCTTTGATCGTCAGATTTGAAGGGAAGGTATTGTTAGGATATTAATTAGATAATTCTTGAGATGTCTCTATCGATCTTGTTTCGCTCATTTATTTATCTGTATCTCTATTATAGTAAATGTTGCTTTTATATATAAACGTATGTATAAGATAGATACTAGATATAACGTAGTTTAACACCGAGTGGGCCATATCACCGAGTGGGCCATCATTTTTACATACAAAATTCGTCTGTGCATAACCGTGCACTTTCTTTATTTATAGACAGAATTCTCTAAAGATTGAAACTGGAAAATTTAATCATATAAATAATATGAAAATCTAATTATTTATTGAAAATTCAATTTATTATAATAGTTATTATAGAAATGTTTTTTTTGTAACGAAAATCGTGACAATTTCTACTTATTTTTAGAAAATATAAGAAATTTTTATATCAAAAATAGATTTATAAAAAGCTAAATTCTCATTATTATTTTATATTAATTTTCTTTTAAAAAATAATGATTGATTATTAAAATACAAATATTAAAAAAGCGTTAATTTTGGTGTATTTTGAAGTGGCCCATTCGGTGATATGGCCCACTCGGTGTTAAACTACGTTATACAAAGTATATGCACAGTAAAAAGCTTCAGAATCTTAATCCAAATAAGCAATTGAGCACACGACATCAATATTGTACCAGGTAGGTAGGTACATCCGATGATGTTTTCTCAACCAATCATCAGTGACTTATTAGATGATGGTAATGATGACTCTATACGAGCTAGATCGTACATTGTCCCTGGTTCCTTACGAATTCCGAATATATAAATACTTTTATACCGAAATGGCTGAGGATGATATGTACCTAGATAGAATATGCATAGAAACGGTTCTCGACCCCGCAAAGGAAGTATCTAGTATCTAGGGAATCTAGGTGGCGTTGTCTAATGGAAGGTAGAGAGGGAGGTATCAATTGAATTCTTGATGTTCTGACCATGTATTTGATAGATGTGACTTGACTCTTGACTCTCGACTCTTGACTCTCGACTCTCGACTCTTGACTCTCGACTCTCTTGACTCTCTCGTAATTATATTTCTTTTCCCATCTCTCACTCTTTTGATCGTCCACGGTAAAGCCAAGGACCGAGTGAGGTTAAGCTTCCAACCAAGACTGTCTCCTGTCGAATTCTTCCTTGGTTCGGAATATCGCAAGTTCCAAGGCGTCATAATTGATAAATGGCCGTAGAACTAGCCTACTCGGGCTTTTAGCTGCTTAGATAGCGCTTTTGCTCGACCCAAAATCAAAAACCAACTTTTCCTCCCATAAACTCACACAACATCACGACATTTCATTTCTCATCTCCATTTTCTTCTCTGGTCAAAAATAAAAAGAAGATCAGATTCTGCACTTCGCCTCGTTTTACCTATCACAAATGTATCGTATTGCGATAAACGATTCCATCGCTATTATCTATCTCCTTGCAGGTTAAAGCAGCTTACCTTGATTGGATCATCATTCAATTGGTCCCGTTTGCAGACTCTTAACTTATCTTACCTCGCATCGAGTATCAGCCGGTCGAAGAAACATTTGGTGTCTCTCGACTGAAATACACGATTTCCCACATCATGTCTGCACCACTTCCACCTCGTGCGACGGAGCCTACAAGCTCAAATACTCGTGGCACAATACCTCAAAGACCGGAACCTACTGCTCTACAACCACCACAAGATCATTCCAATGATTTCAATGCGACCTCAACGCCCAATACCGGGAAAGAGAAGAATAACTCTAAGAAGAAGAGAAATAATCATCGAGGTGGAAAGAAAAAGAGACCAAGAAGACAATCTTTCGCCGCATCAACTGAGGATGGGAATGGTATGGTTGAAACGCCAATGGCACAACGAAATGCTCCGCAAAGTGTAACAAGGTCAAGCTTCTATAGAGGAAGAAACTTGAGTAATACTAGTATTGAGAGCGGAGAACTTTTGGATCACAGGTGAGTCTTTTAATGGCATATAATACATAGCATTTCCTAACATCGTCTTGCGACAGAGATCATCAAAGTATGCGACCTCGAAGACCTTCGACAATGGGTCAAAACGCTTTCGGTCAGATGTATGACAGTCCTTCTTTCAGTCGACCTTCGTACAATAATCCATTCAAATCGTCGGAAACCGTTTCTCGAAGACCTGTCACTAGTAAATCGAAGAGCAATTCTGATGATGAAGCTCTAATGGAAGAAACCGACGAGAGGACTCCACTTATTTCCAGCGCTTCGAAATCGAAAAGCTCTAATAATTTTCTTCAACAAGGAAAACGTAGTCGCCGAAGCTCTAGCAGGTCATCAAATCATAGCAAAAAGAAGACCATTTTCGAAAAGACGACATCTGGTTTGGCTAGGCAGAATGATGAATACAATGTCAACTATCCACCCTCGGTTCCAGGGTCTCCTGTGCTCGGAGCCACAAATCCCAATATGAGCTTTGGAGATGTAATGGTTCGCGATCATTCACCAGAGCAAGATTCTATTCAGGCAGGATCTATGAGATCTTTTAGGTCTCTCCCAGAAGATGCATGTGAGGATGATTCAATTCCAGGCACCCCGCGCAAAGGATCATCTTACGGAGAACGAAGACACACTATCGCATTACAAGCTGAAGAAGACGTGTGCTTTCCAGTTGATATGTCTGAAATGGCGGAGGAAGATGCTCCTCAACAAGAAGATGAAGCATACAGATCACGACGCCATAAAAGGAAATTTCCAAATTTATCTGTCCTCGATGATTGGAGCAGATTTGAAAAAGAAGGCAGGAGTGAAGAGAGACGGGCTAAGAAAATCACCGAACCTCAATTGATTAATGGACGGCTTCGACCAATCCACAAAGGTTGGCATCGAGCGGAGGATGATGCACCATATCGATTTACTTATTTCAACGAAGAATTTCCAAGCACCATTCACAGTCAAACAATTTCAGAACTTGTTCAACCAGGTGGAAGTTTTAGAGAATTATTTATTCCTGATCGTCCCATAATTGATGATAGTTCTGATTCTGAAACCGAGGATGAGGGTGATGATACGGAAATTCGTCGAGAAAATGCATACATCAATCATGCCCTGGGACATAATAACGAAGATTCGAAATCAGCAACTCGTCAATCGTCCATAATTGATATGGCAAATCAAGAATCAAAACGTACAGAATCTCCTCGTGCAGGGCGCCCTTCAGAATCGCATTCTAGACAAACCTCCCATGACGCGTCCCCAAATAAGTCATCGCCACCAAAGTCTACTCCACCGCTCGAAGAGAAGCCTAAAAGATATGGCGATCGTCCTACCTGGTGGCTTGATGTTCTTTCTCCAACGGATGCGGAGATGAAGATCATTTCCAAGACCTTTGGTATACATCCTTTGACAGCTGAGGATATCTTAATGCAGGAAGCTCGAGAAAAGGTTGAATTGTTTCGACATTATTACTTTGTGAATTATCGATCATTCGAGCAAGATATGAATAACGACAATTTCTTAGAGCCTCTCAATATGTATGTGGTAGTCTTCCGCGATGGGGTTATCAGTTTTCACTTTTCTCAAACACCTCATCCGGCCAATGTTCGACGACGAATTCGACAACTGAAAGACTACTTGAGACTCACAGCTGATTGGATATCATATGCTATCATTGATGATATTACCGATGTTTTTGCTCCTTTAATTCAAACTATCGAAGATGAAGTTGATGATATTGATGATGCTATTTTGAAACTTCACTCTCCAGCGGAGAATGAAAAGTCTACCCGAGATAACGAAAAGAAATCTGAAGCAGGAGATGGTACCTCGGGAGAAAGTGGAGGAGACATGCTTCGAAGAGTTGGTGATTGTCGAAAGAAAGTTATGGGTCTTTACAGACTGCTAGGCAACAAAGCAGATGTCATCAAGGGATTCGCTAAAAGATGCAACGAGCAATGGGAAATTGCTCCACGAAGTGAGATTGGATTATATCTGGGAGATATTCAAGATCATATCGTTACTATGACTGGAAATTTATCCCACTATGAAAAGTATGTTATTCCTCGGGTTGAAGTATGATCAAAGTCATCACTAACACATCTACAGAATCCTAGCTCGCTCTCATGGTAATTACCTTGCTCAAATCAACATCCGTATGAATGAACGTCAAGAACAAACCGCGGATGTTCTTGGTAAACTTACAGTCCTTGGTACCATTGTTTTACCCATGAATATCATTACTGGTCTTTGGGGTATGAACGTATGGGTACCTGGTCAGGACTATGAAGGAGATTTGACATGGTTTTGGTGCATCACAGCTGGTTTACTATTTTTCGGACTAGCTTGCTTCTATATCGCGAAGATCGCTTATAAGATTGTTTAAGAATGGATCATGGGGATTGGGGAATCTGGGGAGGATCTCATTATACATATGGAATTGTATGATATGGAAGATACGAGGAAGGGGGATGTGTATATACCAATTTCAGGATATTACTGGGTTTGAGAATTGTATGAATTGCATGGCTTGGATGGTAGGTTGGATAAAGATAGATACGGTATTCATGTTGCATTATTCGGATATATAAGGAGACCGGGCATTGATGGCGAGATAGTGTAATAGGTTAATGAGAAGTAATTTGCAGATATGATCTTGATGTTCTACCATTCGTACCCATTGGAAAAATTCTCCTGAAAATTGTGAATGGTGATTTTATGCATTCTGTGATTGTCCTGTGACGTGAATAATATTTGTGATTTCTCTGCATAATGATATGCTGACTAATCAATATCGTACTTGATCCCGTTCCAAGGTTGTACTCGTACCCAATTGAATATACCCGTATCAAAACTACCACACACGCTTTGATCTGTTGATTCCATTTCAATTGAATCTATAAATATACATTTGCTTTGCTAGACTAAGTGATTCTTCTGTTCGATAAGTATCTGAACAAAGAAGACCAGAAACATTCTTGGAGGAAGAATATCTATTTTTTGCTTTCTCTTTGTTTGCTGGTTGGGTTTGTACGTTGTGTGGATTATTTAGGGGGGCTTTTTTTAAAAAAGAAAAAGAGTTGATTTGGGTCGAAATTACTATCTAATTTGAGGGAAGCATTTTTGGGGGAGAGTATTTGTATCATTGTATTGTTCGACGACACCGTATCATAGTCTGATATTTCTGGTTGAGGAATCTGCATCGCGGACCAAGTCTAGAGAAGTCCTGATAAGTTCGGGAACGCTTTTTCTACCCCCTATATAGATTCGATTCCAGTGGGCTGATTACATTTCTATACATCGGGATGGCGAAACTCAAAACGGGAGTAAAGGGAAAGGGGAAAGCAAAAGCTAAACCAAAGTCCGCTAAAGAGAAGAGCAAAGTTCGAGCGAATGTATCGCGGCAGGGTGATGTACATCGCGGGGTCAAAGTTCCAGTCCCTATGAATATCAAGAGTAAAGCCGCGAAAAAACCAATCGTTATAGATTTAACATCTTCTTCACCCCCTCCTCCTCTCATCAAGAAAGTCCCTCCTCTCATCAAGAAAGTCCCTCCTCCGCCTCCCCCAAAACTCATCGCAACACCACAGAAACAAAACCAAAAACAAAAACACAAACTCGCTCTCTCCTCCCTATCAACAAGCGAACGATCTCCCGGTATCCACTCCCCCATAACCCGTTCCCTCTCTCTCTCCCTCGCAAACCCACTTATTCCCGAAAATGTGTTCAACATCTCAACTCGGAAGAGTACCACTACCCAGCCTCCAGAATATTACATCCAATCGCATCATATTAACGATATCACACCGGGTACCGTCGTGTGGCTCCCGTCGAAAGAAGATATTGTGCATCATGCGTACGTGGATCCGAAGCTGCATGTGAATGCGTTTGATCACCCGGCGGTGATTGTGAGTATGCCGAATCCGGCAAATGGGTTTTCAGTGGTGGAGATTGCGATTGTAAGTTTGAGGTTACGTTAGAGTTTGTGTTTCTAGTACTCGATTGCCGATTTTTTCTCTTCTTTCTGGAAGATTGATATACTAACACCCCTCCCCCAGATGACCTCCCTCGGCTCGCGCACTCTCCACGAAACGAAAAAGCTCGGTCACCGATCCCTCCTCTTCCGCGTACGCACCGCGCAACTCCCAAGCGCGAAAGTCGATATCACGTTCAAAGAGGGAAAGGGGATGAAAGGGAAATATAGTTTTGTGAATTGTCGCGAGTCGTGGCGGGTGCAGATTGGCACGTTGGGGTTTTATGCGAGGGGGAGGGGGACGGGGCAAGGGAAGGATATCGAGTGGTTGAGGTTGACGGCGGCGAGTTTGGAAAAGTTGAGAGCGAGTATTGGCTATGGGAAGGGGTTTTGGGGGTGAGTTTTGGGAGGGGAGATGTGCGGGTTGTGTGATGGGATGGGATGGGTTGAGATGGGATGGGGTTTTTTGGCTGAGAGATGAGAGTGCTATGTTGTCCGAATATTAAAAGACTCAAAGCATATCATATTACGTTTTCGAGAATTCATCGTCATCAGGATTCAAAACACAAGATAAATCAATAATTAACAAAAAAGGAACAAATAACTAGCATTCAGCACGTGCAGAAAATATGTACCAATAGGTACCTATTCATCCACATCTATCCCTTCCCAACACATGTCCCTGCAATCTGAAAAAAAAAGTAGACTATTACAATCCCGAATTCCTCCTCAAGATCTCTTCGTGCGTTTCTCTAATACTATCTATTATTAGGAGATCTTTTTATATATATATCTATCTATTATGCACTATACATTGCACATATAATATAACTCACAACGTGAATCGGATATACACGAGATGTATACATACATGGTGGGATAATTTTTCTAGTGTGGAAGGAAGGGAAGGGAATTAGAGGGGGTGTAGTCTATATAGTCTATGTAGTTGTATGCTGTGTTGTGTGATGATGATGATGATGATCACTCGATTTTCTGGGAAATGGGTTAGTTAGCAGTGTGATGATGGAGTTTATAATATATTCAGATGATAGGTAGGTAGTTATAATTGGAGTGAGGATTGATTTTATGTATTTTATTTATATACAGATTCAAGAGAACAAATGGGAGTAGAAATGGGAGGGGAGGAAGGAGGGGAAATATCTTGAGAATGGCGAGATTGATTGGGTTGGGTTGGGATGGGATGGGTTGGATGGAGTGGAGTCAAGTGAGAATATTATCTCGAGATGTTGGACTGAGAATGAGTAATCGTGTCTGTGTTGTTGTATTCCTGGAGGATGAGGATATGTGGTGGGATTGTTAGAGTGGTTGGGTGGATGGGGATTAAGATGGGGAGTAGAAAATGGGGAGTAGAAATGGGATTTGTAATGTAATATGGTGAGATAAGTAATTTATTGTAGAGTAGAGGGGGGTCTAGATGGTTTACTGTGTACTTGGGTATGTGTTTAGGGGGAGGGGGGGTTTGGTTATTTAAATCTTCTCACGTTGGTTTTCTTAGAGAATGTAATGAATGGAGTGGAGGAGATTAGAACAGTTAAAACAGATGGAGATATAGGACTAGGAATATGATTGAGCGTTTGATCAGAGAATATCATAATGGTAAGTATACGATAACAGCAGTGTGTCATATAAAAATGGACATATGTATATATAGGTCAGTGGCGTCTCCCGAACTATGCATCAGTGTATTATGCGAATGGTTTCCCAAGCGTAAATAGGGGTTGAAATTATTTCTCAGCACCTGAGTAGTAGTAAGTCCATTACTAAGCACCGAAGATATTACGCTCTCAATCAATTAATTCTCGCCTCCTAATCCATGTGTAAATAGATCCATGATAATGGAATCTTCTCTTCTATGCAAGATTTTACTTAACGGCACTAACTCCATGCTCATTTACTTTCTTCCATGCAGTCAACATACATTGAAGAGTAACTACCCATCTCCCACTAGCCACCTACTTAAACCCCACCGCTACATTCACCCTCCCCTCTCTAAGATCCACCTTCCAACCCCCCCTCAATGCACTCAACCCATCCACAACCACCTTCCCCGTCCCTCCCACCTGCGCCATCTTCGTAACTCTCAAAATCGTCTCACTCGCCTTTGCCATCCCACTCACCGCCTCCACACTCGGCACAATACTAATCTGCACCTTACCATCCTCATACTTCAAACTTTCAATAGCCGCCGCATCAACCTCAAATTTAAACCCCAGCTGTGCAATATACACTTTCCTCCTCACCGCATCTCTTGGCTCTACACTCCATGAAGTGTTTGAGCCACAGAGGGTACCCCCAAAAGCAATAAGACCCAATACCGCATCATCCACAACATAGACACCAGATCCTAATGACAAACCCACGAAATTCGGTCCGTAGTCCCCGCTGTATCCGTCCCAAGCCATGGTATCTGGCCATGTGTGAAAAGCAGCTGATGCGAAGCCCTCATGGTCGATATTAGATAATGGACCGTTTGTTCCGCCGTATCCGACTCGAAGCAAATACGTTTGAGAGGGATTTTGTTCGAAGTGTGATAGTAGTGGTAGGGCATTTAGACCGGATCCATAATGATGACCCATTCTTTCGAATTGCATTATTTTACCTCCGTAGCTTTTGTTTGTTAGCTAATTTCATCTGTGGTGTTGAGAGTTTGGAATCGGATTGTGGAGAGTCTGGTTAAACTTACATGAAATCCCAATATCTTCTCGCATTGCCATTCCAGGCCCAATGGCTTACCGTGGGCATGTATCCCAAGATGGTATTAATTGTCTTCGTGACTGTAGCTGTCAAGCCGAAATAGCTGGAAGTCCAAATGGATTAGCGAAAATCAGGTGTGGATGTCATATCACTTACTTGGACCAATAATAAACCCCCTCCTGCCCAGTAGAATCCCAAGCCATCTCACTCCCAAAAGGAACAGCCTCACTATCCCACAAATCTGCTCTTGTCTTCATCGCAGCTACAACCGCATTCGCCGCAGTAGTATTCCCTTCATTTTGTAAATCCTGCAAAACATATCCCCAAACAGTCTCGCCCATCAATCCTACATCTACATAATCCGTATTCGGACCGGTAGCATAGATAATAGTTTCATAAGCCTGATTCAAGTACCATTGCCATGTCTGCTGAGTGACAAGCGTTGGATAAAATCTAGCAACACGATAGAGAGCCCAATAAGCAGCAGTAACATGAACATAATCGTAGGTTCTCTCGGTACCATACGCAGTCGGTTTGTCCCAACTCCACCAATTGCTCCAATCAATCGAGGATAGATAATTGTAGGAAATAGCACCAGGTTGGTAGTAAAAGACACTTTTTTTGACGCTATAGTCAGAGTTCTGAAGAACACCCCATAGTGTTTTTGTGATGAATTGTTCCAATTTAGTCACCTCAGCTGCATTGGGTGAAATTGCTTGTTTCATTGTTGCAGCGAGCCAAGATCCGGCTCCGGCTTCATCACTCAATCCAGCGATCCAGACCCTTGGGTCCTGAAGGACTTGAGCATCAACTGAACGGTCGTATGATATGACGGATGGTGCTCGACCAAAGGGATCACTGGTATTGGAAAGCCATTGCTTTGTTGTTAGAAATGTGCCCAGCTTAGATATGGCCGAGGGTGCAGAAAGGGTGATGGCATAGTTCACCGTTTGTACAAGACCATCAGAATATGTAATTGTTACTCGCACTCTCCCAAATGCAGAGGAGCCAGGGGTAAGATTGTACTTATTAGTTCCTGTAGCGGTAAATGTGAAGGCTCCAGCAGGAGTTGATGTAATGGAAGAGACAGGTGAATTGTGTTGCAAGAACAATTGAGCTGTGAGATCCTGTTAAGTGTCAAAACATATCTGGCCACGATTCAATGTCATATAAAAGAACGGAACAGAGCTTCATCAGGGATGTGTCAAATATACACATAAGATGAAAGATCCAAAATGATTGGGTCATGGGAATGGGAGGTTGAAGGTGGAAATAACATCACTTACCTGGGGAATGATATATCCCGGTATACCAATAGCAACAGGAGTTCCGGTGTTTGCTACAGTGGTTTCGATATTGCTGATACTACTTGAACTAGAAAATCTCAATCCCTTGGTAATCGATTGGCCTTTCGCGAGCACTACAGATGTACCGGGATTCCAAGGGCTCGTACCATTCCATTCATTCTGAGTATATGCTAGAGTGTAAGTTTCCCAAGAATAGAACCCTTCAAATGTTTGGCTTTGATAGGAAAGTGCGGTGTCGGGATCTTCTTCCAAAAATCGCCATCCTTCGAGGGGTGTTTGTCCCAATGGTGTCACTACAAGCGCTGGACCCGTTCCAGATAATGGAGTCACGCGTAGATAGCCACCGTCAAGGCCAATGTTTGGATCCACGAGGGAGCACATTTGCTGAGTATCTACTGCTGTCCTATTTGTGAAGATGCTATTAAACTCAATAGGGAATCCAAGTGCTCCGATTTCAATACTGGTGTTACCCTTATTGGTTATAGTGAAGTTGAGATTAATATCTGCCCCGCTAGCAGACCAAACTCTCGTGATGTTCAAAGGAATTCCTGATGGTAGGGTTGGTGCGAGGTTTGCGGAAGTGGCACCAGTGGAAGTCACCGCATTTCTAGCTGCAGCGGAATCGACACCGATCCATGAAGTAGATCCAACAGGTCGATACCTGAGTGTAATATCGCCAACATGATAATTGCCATTTTCGTTTCTTTGTGAGAGAAGATCAAAAGGGGAGAAATCGAATGTAGTCAAGGACTTTGGGATCAAAGATGCAAGTGTCTGGCTCGATGAATTCAGTCTGGCGTTCAAATCACCAGAGTTGAGGGAAATATATTGACTAGAGACTGCCGTGAATAGAATACTAGACAGTCCAATGACCTTGTGTAGAACAAACATGATTTGAGTTGTGCCAATGTTTTGAACGATGAGTTGAGACCGTCAGCATGAACTTTATAGGAATGAAGCCTATGGAAATAGCAATAACAAAACGCCTTTATCTGAACTTATAAAGAGTGTTAAGAGATTTAAGGCATCATTACATTGCTTCTCCGAGACCAATTAAGCATGTTGATCCTAACACTGTAGTTGGAGCGCAAATAGAATGTTGAGCAGGGGAATTTAGCTTGTGTACATACGAATGGACATTCAGAAAAGTGGATCCTAATTTAAAATGGCACTGGCAGTTCTATTTAATATGGTTGTTGTAGAGGATTCGATAGATGAAATTCAATGACCTAGATTTGAAAAATGAACTTCCCTGCCAGCTAATCTACGGACGAAAGTTATAGAGCTCTAGTAATATACTAATATCACAAAAGCCAATTAGGGTAGAGTAGATTAAAGTAATTCAAAACCCCGCAGCTTCCACCTGCCTCGTTTAGTGATCTGCAAAAGCTTAAATCTTATCGACAGTAAACCTCGTAAAAGCTGTTCGGAACTTGCGGAATCACCGGAGAAACAGGTGAACTGTCGTAATTCTCGCGATTTCGCTATACAAAAATCCAAGATTGAAACCAAGATATATCGCTGGATACATGTTGATGAAAACAACACGAAGTTCGCAGACTGCTGCAACTGAAGATCAAATCTCTATGATTCTGCGTGACTTGGTGATATATATCGTGTTATTTGTGCATGATAGATAATCAAAGGACATTTCGCTAAGACCAGCCGAAGAATGGTTTTTGAACAGTGATTGATCGGTCCCGTGTCATTTTGGGACAATGTCGGTACATATGGGAATGTAGGGTGGCTTCCACGAAACAGTGATCCTTGGAAGTGGAGGGGGATTACACACTGTGTAGATGCATGCTAGGCTATGGAAAGCTTAATAAAAACAGTAATATAGGGAAGAATTGTATACATGCAGATCTCAAGCACAGTAAATGTTTCATGTTGAGAGTCTTTGGTGTGGTGTGGTCAAGATTAATTTAAAATACGATCACGCACGTGCTACTACGATCACAATGCTGACGAAGCCATGACTAAGCCACAGACGCGAAGCGAATGCGGAATCCAAGACACAAGTACAAACACAACATTCCGGAGGGCCACAAGATTGCATTCGGCACTCGATTATGGCACACAGGAGAGATCAGATGAAACCAACTCTGTCTTTCAATTCCACGAGGCGACCTAAACGAGTCAATGCCGTGGTTTGATGGCGAGATGAGCCGCGCTCCACGGACATCAACCTTAATCCAACGTCTTTACTCTGACTATTGTACTCAATTTCGAAGTCGCACTTCTGCTAAACTTTACTTCTATGGCCGAATACTGATAGGACTGGACTCTTGGTCAACAAGTCTTCTGGCAAATCTGTATATGGGAGGTTAATATTGGGGACAAGGCTGGAAGGTTACGAGGAGGCTGTTGTGTAGCTTGAAGCTGGGAAATTGATATTTCCAGAATGTTTAAACGAACGATTACAAAATTATTCACTTCATTGTTAATCCTTGTGTCTCTCTTCTGTACATATATAACCATCTATCTCATTAAGAAATATAAATCAATTCCTCATATCTGTCGCGTGTCTGATGAAGCTGTCAACATTTATTAATTCCAGCATCAATTTTGAACCCAATACTGGAACCTCGCACCATTGATTTTGACTTGAAATAAAGTCGTTTTCTTACTGTCCACCAACACTCCTTCTACCTGGTCTATAAACACGCCAATCGAGAACTAATCATACCGGCACTTAAGTAGCGAGCAGGAGTGTCACACCGGGCCTTGCAAAGAATTCGGCATGTGTAAAGTTATTTCTCCCACATATCAGCTGAGGGCGGCAAGGTGTTTGTCTCCTTGATTCATTTGGCTTTGGATCTCAGACGCCGAACAGAAGCAATAATGTGGATGTGGATGCATGTTCAGGTTTGAAAACTCAAATGATGGTCAAGATAAGAGTGAATGTGGAGGAATGATAAGCTTGATTGAATACTGATATGTTTGGGTCATATCAAAATCAGAGATAGTATTTGGCGGTGGAATTAGCCAGATGTAAACTTAGAAGCAGTTGATTTGCTAGCGATACACGACCAGTACCTGATCCCGCGATCTGCTCCTCATATATTGATGATACATATCCACAATCGAATTAACTCCATCTATGCCCAAATCATAACCACTTCTCTAGCGTATTAAAATCGCAACTGGTATACTCCTCCCACGTCATCCAATCAAACCCATACGCAGCAATTGGTGTCTCTTCAGCAGATGGGTGATCTGCATCGCAAAATTCTATACTGGGAATTGGAACGTCATGATCTGGCAAATCAACACTTAACGTTTCTTGAGTCGAAGAGGTTGACGTGATCCCCCTTTTGTATACTATCGAGCTTAAAGATATCGAGATGGTATCATTAATACCGTCTGGATACGTCGACAACAGCTCAGGCGAACCCATCGTTGGGTCCAATGACACCATCATATCCATCAAAAAGTCTAGGCGTGCCCGTTTAAATGGTGACGAGGCGTCATTCCAAGATGATTCGGGATTTGAAGTCTGATTTGTGGAATCGGTGTTGTTCAAAGACAGCAAGGGTAGTGATCTGCTCGTTGAATGCTGTGGAGATAGGATGGAAGTGCTCGGAAGACGGTCTATTGCATGTTAGACAAAGAGAATTGTTGCTAAAGCTTGCTTGTATATACATACTTTGGGAAACTGTTGATGAAAAAAACTTGCAATGGCTCAAGATCTTCTGTGGTACGGAGCGGCGCACAAGCTCTTGGTACGTATAAACTCCGGCGGCTTTGCCGAGAGCATTTATGCCTGCAAATCCGTATGTACCATCTCAAACAGTATTGGCACTGGCGTCTTCCTTTGCTGACATATGCATGGTATCTGGTATTATGTTGCACCAGATTCTTCACCACGCGGCCACAGATAGGGCACATCTCTAATTTCTTGTGTACAATTTGTGTATGAGTGTTGAGGTTGTGCTTGGCTGTAATTGTCTTGAAACATTTATTGCAGTTAAATAGTGAGGTTTTTTGAATGGGGCTCGCCATGACGATTTTGAATCAGAAATGTTGGAAGTGAAACAGGTTGTAAAAGTGTTGAGATATCTTATTGTAGTGTAGCAGAAGTCTCGGTGGAGTAGCTGATCTGAACATTATGATCTGAAAAGAGCACTCATCACCACTTATATGATTTGCGAACATCCAATATCCCATTAGACCATTCAACCCCTTTGACGGAACAGTCAATTCTACAGAAAAATGAAGTTGGATCCCATGGTTACATTAACTCTACTGTCTCTGAGTCAAGTTGAATTGTCAAGTGATAAATGATCTTGTAGTGGCGATGTTATGCTACTTCTCAATACTCTGCTTACTCAGTCCCGAAACTAACTAGGTAGGTTACCACAGGTACTGTCTATCAACCTTGTTTCCTTTAAAATCTGTTGGTCCCTATTTGGAAATGAGTTTAAGTGGCTGTTGGGTGGTGATTGTGGACGGTCACACAGATAGGACACATATGTGAAGATAAGGAGGCATCAGGTAGAGGTAGCAAACGGGTCACGAATCCCCTGTCCGATGAATGCCAAATTTAATCAAGCTTTTGATGGATAACGAGATTTTTTTTCAATATTTCTTTGAGATGGTACTTATCATCGACATGGCCCCAACTTAGTTGATTGTATAACTTGAGGCGATTGCCATTGCGAACACAGTGACGAATTCGAGACATTGATTTTCTCTGTCGTAAGTCATCACTACTTCCATTGGATGACAGGATACTGAAAGCATCGACTTCGTCAATTGAGAAAGTCTCATCAGTTCTTGTTTCCTCTCTGCGGGAGCTTATATTGTGTACATCTTCCAAGTTCCACCTCAGCTTCAAAGGGAACCGCAATGTGATTGGGCCCAGCACGAGCTGACCACAGGTCTTCCGACGTATCTGGCAACCAAGCATCAAGGAAACTCCCTCGAATGGGAATGTAGCGAGCGATAGAGGAGAGTGGCCATGGCTTCGTGTGGATTCAAGTACGTTGTGCTTGATGTTGATAAATCATCTGCTACTTGGACAGCTGGTGTACACGTAAGATAGAATCAGATTCGGTGAGTATGAGTGATGAAAATAGCTGAGTCAAAAGGAAGTAGCAGAACTTATCGGCGTGTTCTATCTTGAACATGGCAAAGTTATTTGCTACATGGAAAGTAAGCACAAACCCTCATGCTTCGAGTTGGTCAATTGATCTAATTCATGCCAGTCTTCTAAGTACTGATTGTGCGCTAGCAGTAGCGATGATTTACCGACATGACGCTGCGGAAAAGGAAATGTGTATTTCTTTCAACAATTTCATAGACAGAAGGCTCTTATCTCTTGTATAATATGAAAAATCTCAAGCTAGCTTCACCCGCGAAAACGTATTCTGGGATGGCTGAAGAAATAATAAGTGCTGTTTGTGCAAACAATGCAAGTGCATGCTTATAGAATATAGATGAATATTTAACAGATAGCCAGTGCCTCTGTGTTTGAAAATTACCGGATACTCACTTACTAGGCTTGGACTACTCGCCTGTCAACTTCGTTAAGCAATGCGGAAACACTTGCCTGCCTGATTAGTCATTACTGATCATCTAAGTATTGTTTAGAGATACTTTCTAATGGAGTATCATGTATATCCTGACATGGTATGTATTTTACGATGTCCGGACGATGTTATACGATGTAACAAGACAGCCTAGTATCTAAGTACCATTCAACCAATCCTTATGTATGTAACGATGAATACCATACATGCCTTCGCACTTGCGGTCATTCAATAAAGGTTTTATCAAAATTTACTCTTACAATCAATATGCTACGTTGTCTAAAATAAAGTATTCCGACATTCATCATCCTTGCGAGGATGTCGGCATCCTCGAACAGGGTCAATCTATCTTCCACAGCCCTGTGTCTCCAAGTATGATTTTCTGTATTGCTCTCAAGTTATTGGTGGACTCAGAAAGCAAAATTCCTGTATTTGGTTACCACTAAGTGAGAAACAGGGTCTGTAGAGACTTGTGGCGTGGCTGCCTAGTAGGAAGAACGCGAATTATTCGCGTAGACAGGTGATCAAGCAAGGATCTTGTATAACCAATGCAAAGGATATCTGATAAATCGAGGCAAGATGCAGGAATGAATGCACATAGAACTCGGATGAACAGGTGTAACTCCATCATCCAATGATATTACTAGGAAATATTCTGGAGTCTTTCCATAAATCGTGGTTGTAGATTTAAGACTACTACCAGAATCCGGTTTCCTCGCCTTGCTTTAGCTTTATTCAGTATCATTCTGGAGATCAAACTTAAAGATGTGATAATCTTACCTGGCATGAGTCCATCGCATTATAACTTGGGAACCGTGGTATAGTGCCACGACATTGCACCACGATACCGAGCTTGGAACTGATAGATCACCCCCAATTCATTTCAAATATAGCGTTTCAAGTTGCTTAAAATAGGCACATTATTTTGCAACCAGGACTGTAGGGGATTATTTATCGACTAATTTTTCTTCCTGCTGAATGCGTATATAATCAGTAACGTGTGACGTGCTCAATTACGAATGATTTTCCGTGATTTTCCGTGATTTCCCTTCCTTCTGTGCCCTTCTATCGAGGATCGAGTCCATCATTTTCTTCAAAATTTGGATGTCCAGAATTAGGAAAGTTCAACATCATGGCATAAAATGCTAGTTTTGTTTGAGACGAGGATGGTCTTGCGAAAGGTAGATAGATGCATATGCATGGTCTAGTATTGAAGTCGTCCATTAGCGAAGATCTCATCCCGACTTCACTTTCATTGCGAAGAACTGATGGCTTGGATTTTCTCCGGACTTGCCTTTCAACATGATAATTCGTGAGATGAAGTTGTGTAGTTCATATCTCACGTAACTATTGTTTGCTACCGGCAATTATCAATTTCATTGATATCTCCTCAAGTTTTCCGGCTTTGTATCGTTTCTTCTCGAGAATATTTGTACGAGTGCTCAGCAAGCATTCCAATTTTCCGCAGTTCGTCAACTAATAACAATGGATTGATTAATCTCGCACCTCTTTTTATCCTCCGTCAGAGTCTCGGAGCGTGCTCAAGTGTAAACTAGCTGTGTATAGCCCTCTTTGTGTTGCAGGATACAATCCATCGCAAGACTTTACCTTTAAAATATACGTGTGTTTCTAATGATGTTGAAAACTTATTATGAAGTATCATTCCTTGTTGGAGTCTCTTTCCTTTCCGTTTGCGCCACTCTTCTTCATGTTGAACTCTTTGCGGCTATTTCGAGGCCAATCGAGTGTCTTCTCTTCTCATTGCTTCGAAACAAAGTTGTAAACACAAACATATCCATGTCCAGCTGACGTGAGCCCATTCCTCATGCAGGTCAAAATAGACTAGATGTATTTGAGATGGAAGGTTGAAGATGACAAGTCACCTTTTCATCTGTGCCTCAAACTTTCATTGTCTGATGGAGCTAGCATAGCTAGACGTTATGGCAGAATCCGTTTCGATTCAGTGCCGAAGAAGAATCTGTCTGGCGGGTCTAGCTGTCTTTAGCTTAAGCTACCTTTCCCCCATGCTATATTTTATGCGCTCTCTCACCTTTCATATTATATTGAACTCGTATTCCATAGAGCTGAAGCTAGGGCTGAGAAAATAAAGATGAGGTGCCGAGTTTTCTGGCAGGCGTTTGTCGATCCCAGAGGCCAGAGGAAAGTGAAGTTTATAGAGATATTAATGAAGTTAAGGAGTGGTAATCTTTAAAATATTAACTTGGTAGAAAACACCGGGGAGAAAATACTCACTTCATTAGCTGAAAAATGGGAAGAGATAAAGGTGAAGCTTAATAGCCAGCTCCGTCTCATTTTTTCCTTCCAAAGACTAACGCGCTCCGAAACCCTCATTGCGGTAGCTGCCAAACGGTTCCAGTGATCAGAGGAAACTTTTCATTGTCGTAATGCATTCGGTTAGATGCCAAAGAGCATGTGCATGTATTGTTCCGGGAAGCTTCGAGGCCAAGAATCAGACTTTATGGTAAAAACCATGTTGCTGGTTGCTAGGGAAAACGCACAGGAGCTTTCAACAGTCGGCCCTCGAGCCACGTGCAGGAAATAGTCTTTTGAGAGTCATTTCAAGTATTGACATTCCGTTTGACTGTTGACTATTATCGAGGTTGATGATATGTTAAGCACAAGTTTGAAGATCGATAATCACGAATTCGCTGGATCATACTGTAGCAAACTTGATCTTTCGATTGACGTCAGTGTCGAGCAAGCAAAAAAAGCTCAACAAATTGGCTGATGGTAAGTTTGAGTTACACCCATGGCTGATATATTGATCCTATCCAATCCCTTCATGCAGACGAATACGATGTCTCATAGTGATTTCACTCTGGCGAGATTATGGATACATTTTCTTTTACCAATTTCATCATTGTTCACAAAAGTACACAATAATCTACATTTTGTTCAATTTGATCATCATCTCAAGATCACAAATATCTTCGCAACTTAATCCCATCATCTCCAACATCACCGATGAACTATCTCAGCTTTCAACCATTGATGCCCCCTTTTCCAAATCATAAGCCATATGAACAAATTCCACGAAAAAATAAATTTGATGTTTGGTTGTGTTCATGAATAGCCCTGTGGTAAGTAACAGCACGTTTCTTATGGGAATAGACCCAGTAACCTCGTGGCCAATCAAATATAAGACACCTAATCGGTGGAGAATTCCCATTGTTGCGAATGGGTGTTTGTGATTTGTATGCATCCAAGATGCATCGCCGTTACGTTTTCTTCCGTTTGTACATAACGCTTGTGAGAAGCTACATGAATGAGGTTAGCATTTTACAAGATTGCGAGTCAACGTTTGTTGAAACGCCTCGATGACCTATAAGATTTCCAGTTTCTCAAGCCACTGCGAATATTTGTTGGATAGCGCAACCAATCGGGAAAGTAGTCTTTTGTACTTGAAGATTGTTGAACGCTTAGAAAGCTATACGAATGATTGAAAGATGTGTGAAACTCAATGATTGTAAATGTAATAAATTTTGAGTAATCATAATAGATTTGACGATGATAACCTGTGCACAATAATCTCATATAGGACATTCCATGAATTAACACCACAACTGATTCAAAAGCTTGGTATTTGGGGTCTATTATACGCTAGTTCAGGCTATAGCTTTTTTAAAAAGATGAAATTCTGATCTTCTAGTTTTAATATTACTAACAATTTTTTACTTTTATGAAATTTTCAGATTTTCAAATCCTCGAATTTCTTTCTCAAAATTTGTAATTCTTTTCTAGGTTTTCTAAAGAAATCGATGATTCGAAACTCTAATATGAATACTTTTCTATTTATAAATAGAAGAGAATAATATCGTTATGAAAAATTAGAGATTTAAATATCAAAAATATCACTAGTAGTTTAGATCGAAATAGCTGATTCGAGTATCAATAAACGGAATGTTACTATGTGAGGTTATTATTATAGATTAAATATTGATGCTTAGTGAACAGGCCGACGATAGTCTCTCAACTACGTTTGCTTCATCAAAAAAATATTGAAACTCTGCCATCCGCAGTTCAAATTTCTCCGACCTGCTGTACCTGATCACCCACCAAGCCATATAAACCAGAGGATGACTAGCCATGAATGGAATTTTCGGCTCGTGTGCATGCGGGATGAAACTTTGAAAAGGTAGCCTCCCGGAAGAACTGTCCTCGATTTTACTTGAAATTATGTTTCCATACCAGCAAACGGCAGATATAGTAACGACTCCATATCATAGAAATGCTAAGACATTTAAGGTCTAGCTGGTTATAGGCGAGCCCCTGTATGATGCAAAAACCGGTAAGTGACGAATTCGCTCGCACGAGACAGTGCGCCGAATGTTTTATTTGTTTCTGAACCCAAAACAAAGACCAAACATACTTCTACCAGAGGAATGAATTTTGTTCTTGTAATATATGGAATCTAGCTTGAGTGTAATTTGAAGTTATAGTTACGCCGAAGCACTTCGGACTCGGTGAATGTGTTCGGCCCACCCGCGGAAGCGTGCGGTGCCCGAGCGGGAGCTGAATGACTGCCGATTGACCTTATTCGTGACAATGGGAGAAGGTAGGAGAGGATTGGAAAATAGACACAGTCGAGAAAGAAGGCATTACGAACCAAAATTACTATGTTTAGAAACACAATATTGTAGAATGATCAACCCTAAACCTAACCCTTGACTTTTCCTTCCCTATCCATTCTTTTACAACAAAAAAAGGGCGCTTTGCACTGATCACTATAACCACAATAACTTCAGTATGAACAGTAGGTGATAGATGTCTACTTTTGAGATGAAAAAGCTAGGAGAATTTGTTGAGAGTGAGAAAATGGATCCAATCTTACATTATCCTACATTACACAGCGGAAAGCATTCATGAGTTGACTTCGTTTGTTAACGTTACATGCGCGAATTTATATAAGATTTATGATCTCATCCTGCACGCATGTCTCAATGAACCAATCTCAAAAGGAGACCCGCTCGAGTTCAAGAAAGAAGACCGATTTAGTTCTCTCTGTTCCCATTCTCTCCCGGTCCTTTTCCATCTCAATACCTATCAATCCACCATCTTCACACAATTGGCATCATTTCATCTCCCGGCAACCAGACTTCGATAGAAATGGGGACTTTTCAATGACGATGCGATCGCCATGCACGAAAACTCGCGGGCTTATACGGCTTCAGTGTGAGTAAGACGGTATCCTCCTTCCCTCCCTTCCTGTTCCCTCCCTCCCTCCATTCTTTGCCCTTCCTCCTCCCATCCTCCCTCTCACACCACTTACCATTCTTCCACTAGCTGCCAGTCTGATATGAATAATACTAAATCACTGCGTTAATTCTGCAATCAGGACATTCAACGAATTTGCACTGGCGTGAACAATAAGAGGCTTGAGAGATTACTCAAGTTTTATGAAGCATTGCGGGATCTATAATCACAATTTAAAAGACATATGATTTCAGGAGCAGGTAGCATCGTGAGATTCAATAGGTTGTGGAAGATCATTTCGAATTGAATTATTTCTCCAGACTTCCATGCTACTAATTTTTTCTTCAAGAAAGTTGGGAATCATTCAATAATCCTTTGTTCAGATGCGCCAACCCTAGCCAAACACCAATATTCTATCTTCAGACCCTGACCTCTTCGGAGTGATCATTCTCTTTTGTAGTGTCTCCTCCGCCGCATGATCCCCTCATCAGTCTTTCCTCCGTATTGTTCTCGTCCCCCATTTTTTCTCATATTCTGCTATTTTGGTGTCTGTCATCTAGACATTTTGAGAGCCTCTCAAACTTAAAACCTCGACAGTGAGCAAAATAAATGACGCCGCACATAAGCCAATCCCCTCGATATTACCGCCGCAATCGCCAGAACAGTTTCCTCTCTATTTCTTGGTCTTGATAAAACCTTGGCTGAAGGGCTTACGGTTTGGCTTGATCTTGGTTCCTGCCCGACCTTGTAACCACGATTCCTTTAGCGAGCGTGCTTGATTTGATGCTTTAGGAGGTAAAAGTGGATTTCGGGTTTCCGCAACTCTGAATGTAGTTGAACCAACCCGTTTATCCTTCGGCTTCTTCTCCAGAAGGCGACGTAATTTATCTGGCTTGACAGATCTTGTGGGTAGGCTTGAATGGAGACGGCCAGGTTCTGGGCTATCAACATCATCATCTTCTAGAAATTCGGCCGGCAGAAGATCTGGAAGTGGAACTTGTCCGGGGATTGCGAAAGTTCTGTTAATTTCTTCAATGTCGTCCTCGGAGTCCAGTCGTCCATCTGCCGTTCCTTCTCCCTCTAAAGTATTTGATTCCTCGTCCATATCGACATCCGCCTTTTCGGTGGTTGATGTGACCTCAATCTTCGATTTCTGAGCGGGGGGTAACATTTCGTCTTGTGCGGATGCAACATCTAACTTGCGCTTCTTACTAGAGATCTCTGCTTGACGTTTAAGATTTGCGGCTTTCTCCTGGCGCTTCTTCTTCGAGACAGCTTCTTGCCTGGAATCACGTTAGCAAGTCATTTAGGCAGAAATCACAATCAACATACTCCTCGATCGCTTTTGTTGCTTCTCTTTCCTTTTCTTTGGCGGATTTCGCAGCCTCATTTGTTGTTACTTCCTCTGGGGCATCGTCATCGCTACTCTCGTCCTCCTCCTCTTCAGCTTCAATTCTTTCGGATTTTTCTTCTTTCACTGGCTCAGGCTCAGGCTCTGCGCTATCGAATCGCTTATGCTTCTTCGCAACTGGCGTTGTAACAGTGGTAGTGATTTTCGAAAGGGTCGAGACATCGCCATTGGCTTTTGATGTCTTAACTACCTCCTCATCTGCCTCGATGATTTGCGCATCCTCTGATTCTTCTGCAGAATTGGGTATTTCTTCAATTACTTGCGGTGACTGTATTGGTGTTGCTTCTTCTTCGCTTGCCTGTGCCGACACCTTTTTCGAGTTCCTCGTAGGTCGTGGAGTGGCAGCAACCTCATCATCTTCAAGAGGAAGCGATTTGCGCGGTCGCCCTCTCCTTTTTGGAACTGGAGTGCCCTCATCGATGATTATAGAATCTCCATCTCCGTTCACTGAGGGACTATCTGCCAATTCTCGAGCTCTACCCCGCGTAGTAACCATACTTCTAGTTCTTCTACTTTCGTCGCGCAATTGCTGACTAGGAGTCAATGGATCGTCCGCCTGAAGATCCTCTTTCGAAGACGTTTTAAAGATTCTGGCGAACATACAGAAAACCTGTATTGGATTGAACTTTAAATAACGGTTAAAGGTGTGAGTGGGCCTTGGGTGTAGGACAAACCTGTAAAAAAATCTTTGAGATTTCTTTAGTGCCGGGGAGCGCTATGACATTGATATTTTATCGGATTCACCGCCTTTCCGATAATCGAGAAACGCAGACGGTTGGTCATTCTTGCTTCATCAAGCTTGTGATTTATGTTGATATCAGGCTTTTCATTGATTGATATTTGATATTTTATACACGAATGTTAACATGTCGAATCCTCGAGCAATGCTCCCTTTAAAACATGGTCTCAGACTATTAAATCAAAGGTCATTTCATACCACTCCAAGGTTGTTCGCTGTCAATATCAAACCTTCAAGAAAGCAGATATTAGCAAAGAGAAATGCTACTGAACCAGTGATCATACGGAAGAGGGTGCCAATCAACACTCCTGAAGCTCTTCCACCGATGTTTATTCTTGAAACGGACCATAAAGCTGGAGTTCTGACTGTCGAACCTAATAAAGCCATGGAATTCTTAAAGAACTACCAGAATCTACATGGAAATCCGAACCAAGGTTGGGAGACTGGTATTTGCAATAGTAAGGTGTTTTCTTCTTCTTCGCAGCTTACATAGCTTACTGATGTTTTATAGAGCATGGTATCACGGCATCTGACGTGACTCAATTATCTATTTCTATGGGGAGATGCCGGGAACAAGCACAAAAACGTCTAGCAAGAGTGTTGCTAGATTCAGCGTCAGCTATGGGAGACCCAGCAGCCACGTTAGAGGTTGTATCAGAAGCTTTTCATAGTAATAAGCTCTACACAGCAAGGTTTACAGTTTTTCTCGAACGTTTAGGTATTTTAGCCAAGAAAGAGGGCAATGTTCAAGCAATGGGACTTCTTGGTCAAATTCTATACAGTCAAGGAAGGGAAAAGGAAGCTCGAGATTGGCTGCAAAAGGCTGTTGGTGGAGAAAATTCACCACATTTTCCAGGGGCTGCAGAGGCACTCGTCGTGCTTGGCTTGATTTTAGAAAAGACTGATAGAGCGGCTGCAAAGAAATTGTTCAGCAAAGCAGCATTAGACTTAGATCATCCAGCAGCGTTCTTTTATCTTTCTAAACATGTAGGTCCTGAGGAAGAGGATAATAGGATGGTTTATTTACTCAAAGCGGCTGGTGCTGGTATGCCTGAAGCATGCCACAATCTTGGTGCTATTGAACTATCTAAGAACAGTGACCAAGCGGACAAGAAGCCGTCAGAGCGAGATTATGGTTATGCCAAAGAGTGGTTTCAAGTCGCAGCTGAAAGTGGATTTGGTTTAAGCATGTTAAACATGGCTTCAATATGTAAATCTCAGGGTCAAACTGAGGAGGCTTTGAAATGGCTGGAGCAGGCAGAAACCCTTCCCGAAATCCATGATGAAGCAGTAAAGATGAGATCCAGCTTCGTTGTGGATTAAGACATACAAACTCAACTCTGGCAGACTACACGATACTGCATTATAGTCAGGGCTCTTAGCTAGACCTACCAATTGATAAAGCTTTACAGGAAGCATGCGGAAGACGTTATGGGGTCGGGTTTTGCAATGTACTTTTGTTCCTCCACAGAAATTTGACGTGGATGTTCAAGATCAGTGCAAGCATTACTTTCAATACCCGGCTAGTCAAGCTAATAGCTTATGAGGAGAGGAATATTCCACGCCTGCGTGCGATTGAGTTGAATTTGCGTACTCCGATACGTTTGCTTGGAGAACCGCATTGAAAAGCAGCTAGATAAATGCAAAGCTGGCAAGTTGACGGTGAAGGTTCACTCTCGTCATCGTGTTACTTCTTAATAAATACAGTTCATGGCAAGGTTAGTCTTCCTGGCAAGTCATTGGGAGCGACAAATCAATTCCGCGAAACCTTCGAAACCCTGTTGCATGACATAGATGTGGTAGCTTAACTCTCGTGGTCATATTGAAGGATGTCAAGAAAAAGGTCCAAGTCAAGTGAGCCTAACCATTCTGCACTTCTTCACACACATTCTTGACGTTTCATGATTTATTGAGTATTTTTGAGATGTGAGTATTGCAATCTGCTCCAGACCTGAGTAAACACACATTGCAATGGACATGGTCAGCCGAGCTTGACGATGACAAAGAGGTAGATCGCCATCACGTGTTCTCAGGGAAAACCGACCGCAACTCAACAGTCCATTCAAACATTTCGCATTCTACAAAATCAACGTGGTGTAATTCTTTATTCTTTGTATTTGTTTTTCATGAGAAAACTTAGTGCCAGAGATGAGAAAGATTCAACAATGTAGTTTCAATTTGAATTATGGATGATGTACTGCGCAAAACATGACTTTGAAACAAATATGCCATTTTCCGCTGGCCCTTTCGTACGGTCTTCGCTAGTATTCTCTAATGGTGCCGGCATCAAACTCTGATAGAGTGATATCACAGGCCCTCAATTTTACCTGCTGGAAATGGTTCATTTTACGCCCGAGGTGAGCCAACTCGCCGACAAAATCAAACCAAAATGATGTTGAGGCAGAGCTGGGCAAGATCTATGCTGTGGCAATCGTTGTCCTTATTACTTGACTTCATGTTCTCAGAAGTGTCGAGACGGGTATGTTAAGGTATATAAGACAAGTTAAAATATGGATAAGACTTACCGTCAAGGAGTCACTTTAAGATCTAAATGGACACTGATTTTGAATACTTGTCTTGTTTCATTTCTCAGCAGACAGTTAAATCAAAGCGGAGTACCCTTTTAGCAGACTTGAACCTCGATAGTGAAAAGACTTTAGCGTCATCGGTGAGTAAGTCTTTATTATCAAAACATCGACGCTCTTGCATAGGAATGCCGCGGGAATCATTCTCCTAGTCACAATCTTCCCGTCTCAGGATTTTCATAATAAGCAAGTTCATTTTTGTCGTTCGCAGTTTCCTTTGGGCACACTGATCGATAGTCTCATCGACAGCGACGACAACGAGTATCACATAGCAACAATTAAATTCAAAAACAACAAGGACAATAACACAGTATTTGTTATTCCCAAACAAAAGGATAAAAGCATAATTTACAGACATCGAAACCGCATCTTGCACCCCAACTCCATCAAATTCCTTGGCAAATACAGATATCATCTACAACACCCCTCTTTCTAGCCTAGTTCTTTGGTAGCGTTTATCTATTATCACACTTATCGATCCGCAAGAACGCAAAAGTTGTGCTCTTTAGATAATACTCTGACATTCCGTGCATTTCCTCCGCTTTGCTACCCCTCGCTTAATATCAACATCCGCTTCTATCCGCACAAGCCTGATGACTTGAATCTTCCAAGGTTTACTTAAGTAAAGGCCTGATCTGGGTTTAAATTTGTGAGTCTAAGGACTTCAGGATTCTATGGGCCGCGATGAGCGGAAGAGTTATTGTGTGAAATTATTGACTAAATGATTTTTCCGATGGTAGGATATTTAAATCTTCTGTCTTGAGAAATCGTGTATTTTATGTGGTATAATGACAGCAGAGAAATCAATGAAAAGCCATTGATTCAAAACGACAGTGATAATGAAGTATTCACGTAAGCACTTTTGTCTTGACTGAGAATGACGATTATTTCCCTGCACAGGGAAGCGCTCGTATCTTTCATGAGTGGTGCTTAATGCAGTATAGTTCTATAAATGCTACACGCTTCCAAAACATGAACGGCTCATATACCGTTTGTTGTTGGCCATGTAAAGGTATAGAGAGCTGAGCCGTAATCCTTATATAGACTCTATCATCTTTCCTAAGCGGAGCGTCTCCACTACAGAGGCACCTGCTTCTTCCACAACCGTGGACAAAGTGAATAATTGTCTTGAGGGGCTATGCTAAATCACCCATCGAATTTAAATTGCCGCTCATCCTCTAATACCAATTCACCCCCAGAATTCAAGATACTGGCGCGATCTCCCGCCCACTATTTCTCCAACAATGATATATATAAGCATCCAAGCACCCCAAGTCATAACACATCCTAAACCAGAATCCGAAACAGCTTGAGATTTCTTGGAACTTTCGCCTCGTGAATGAAAGGCAAACAAGCATCTATACTAAACTCAGGCAACATAAGAAGTAATTCCAGATGTGATTCACCAAAAAAAATCTCCAGCAAAGCAGCTTTCAAGGAATATAAATCAATATCTCATATAAACGACAGTGTGAAGAAAAACACGGTACAATTCTTCAGATTTAAAAGTGAAGGCGACAGTAAGAGTAGATAAACGATAACAATCCCACCGTATCCCGATCCGTGTATCAAACATTCACAACTGACATACGTATGTAACATAACAAGACAGAAGTAAATATTTCCAAGTCCTACTACAATAATCCACATATGTGTGAATCTGAGAATACTCCAAGAGGGCGCGAAGTTCTCCTCATGACTTCGTAAATGTCGTTTGTATAGACGTGATAATCGTCAGCTCCCGCAGAATTTATCTGGTTTATATATTGCTGTTCGGAATTTTCTGAATACCTAACATTCACTATTCTGCGAGAAAAATTTAATAGGTGGTCATGACTAACCAAGTCCTCCTACGTCACCAGGAAAATCAAGCAGAACACAAGATACACACTTTGCGCTTTCTTTCTCCTTCCCTACGCGGCGAATAAGCCCACCTCATCTTCCGGAATTTTCTTTGAGGGACAGAATAAAAGGCCTCTCATAGTCACAGAAAAGTTTCTTGAGACCATGCTGGCAGGATTCATACAAATCCACAAAGACATTAGTATTGTGCAATTGTGAAGTAACAAGTAACAAGTAACCAGTGTACTCATACAGGCGAATTTCATTCTGCGCAATCGATTTGATAAAATCCCACCGTGAAAGAACCGAGGACTTTTTCCTCAAGAGATCAGATGAAAATTTTTCAAAACAACAACGATACTTTAATTTGGCGAGAAAGACAACGATATCCCAAGAATGAAAGTTAAGGATGGAATTCTTTGTAAAAACGCGTGAGCGCGAAATTCTTGTTGGCTACGAATCAGAAATACTCCAAGGACAGGCAGTTCCTCTGAAAAGGCTTTGAACGGGCTTTCACATATTTACTCCCAGGATAGAATCACTCCACCAGTTTCTTAAGTAGATAGATCGCTCGTTCTCCTCACCCATTCCCAAACACACTCAGATGCTTACCTAACTAGATATACCCCGCAATCCATCTACAACACAAAATACCTGTCAATTCCCTACCAGTATTCAATTTCTCCAAGACTTTCAGATACAAGTACTTGACCACTTAACTACTCGTGGTGAATCAATTCCATACTACACAAACCCTTTCCCACTTTCTCAAGATCTCACCTCATACTCTCAATATATAAACGTCTCTTGCCATCAAAATCTCAGTTGGCCCAGCATGAGCAGTTGCAGCTGAGGAAAAGCAGGACGGGTTACGAGAATGGGCGATGCAACTTGCTGTTTGCGATTCTGGCGAGAAAGATGGATTAGAGGTGATATAATGTGTGATATACCCAGGCACACAAGAATGATATAGGTGGTAGATTTGTGTTAGGAGATGCGATGGGAGTGGGATAAAATGAGATGGGAATATAAGTACTGACAGCGATGATTATCTAAAGACAATGGTTACCACACGATGTATAATTCGTCTCATTCCATCTGCTTCCATTCGTAGCAACTACAGTCTCTCTTGAAACCCTAACTAACCAATCACGCTATTCATATGGGGAAAACAATGAACTTGTTGCTTTTGTTTTAGGGACGCAACAAGATGCACCTGCCTGACTTTTATACTCCTCGCCTTGGGAGAATTCCTACCCTCTTCCCCTTTCCTTTCCCAATCTCTCTTCTCAGCCTTCTATCAGGAAAGATCAACCAGGTAGACACTTCCCCGCATCCACTATCCACCAGTAAAATTCACTCATGAACCAACCCCCATCTCTCAAATACCATCTCCACACATTCCCCCTCATCTAATCTCTCAATCCCGATTTCGAGTGCATAAAGCCACTTCTTCCTTGTACAAAATGTTCAAGCATGAAAAGACGACGGATCGATTCTACGCCAAAATTGAGATTGTCCAATTATTGACCAAACCCCACTACCCTTCGATCGGTACTCATGAACCTCAGCCATCCACCCTGTGACTTTCCACGAGATGAAATACCAAACAAGCCATGATTATTATTTTGGCGGCGTCAAGATATCCATGACAGCAAAAATACTCACTCGCCGGTAGTTTTAGTATCAATTACCAACCCATCCCAACTTTTTAGATCCCAAGAAAAAGAGTATGGGCAGCGGGTAATAGTCCTGATGGATAACCTGCAAATAAAATCACTCGCGAATATCCCATAGGTACACAAAATCTCTGCGCAGTCTCCGGAAGATCTCGTCTTATAACAACAAACAGTCATTCAACACTCCGAGGATATAGCATAGACTCCACATTGAACA